TGACGTCGATTGTTGTCTACAATTTTGTCTTACAGACAGCTCTCACCACACCGTGAGAGAATTAGATCAAATGTGTCTGTATGTTCAATTTGTCTACGAGGAAGTCGTCCGCTGTGCTATCTGGATTACTGCGTAACCCGACATAAGTGATTTCTTGCCTTGTGAACTTCACTCTCGAGTGTATAAGCTAGCACGATCGTCTCTCATGCATGACCATTCTTGCACCGCTACTCCATAGAACTACTAAAATTAGATCATGGGTCAGCCACATTTGATTATTATCCTGTCTTCCCTGTGCAAGGGTGGATATATGTCAGCTAATTCCATAGATGATGACTCCAGATTTCTGTTATGCCTCTTGAATGGTGATGGATAAGAGGGTTTTGGGTCTCCATGCTGCTATGAGGGTAGAAATCGAATCCTAAAGAAGCTAAAGAGTGTGATAATGCAATGTAACACTGTAAAGGCAGGGGAAGACACCGGTTCATAAACACCGATAAAAATTTGATAGAGTGGCTTTCACTATGCAATTCCACCAAAACAAGCCAGTTAATTTCATCAGTTATTCACCGGGTAGCGCTCTAAATATCTCACACTCAACGACGGCAGTAAAATTTCCCACTCAGTGACTTCTAAGCAACGTGAAATAACCACATTACAAGGCCAACGAGCGACAACACTATAACTCACTCCTCCTAAACCTCGATGTTGCTCTTTCCAAATGATGGACATTACGTGGGAAACTTTCGACCGTATGGCAAAGTCAAATCACTCGTCTTGGGGTAGTTCAACTTCTCGTGGACAGATCCTTGAAATTATAAACCCAGGCGCAGGCTCAAACAACGTAGAGACCTAAATCCATCTTGTCTATATCCTAAATCCTGAAGTATAGTTATACTTTCCTTTTAAAAGACAGGTCAACTTTAAGAAGGTGCACACAGCTCTCTACGGGTAGTAAAGAACTTGTAACACAAAATTCAGATTGAAAAAAGGCATACACACAAATTTCCATCAATAACTAAGTGCCTGCATGTTATATCTTCAAAAGCATAAGGCACATACATATGTGGAAGTTACCAAAATATTTGAACCTCGCTTAGACTACTAGCTTGCTAGTTTTCTGGCCGGTCCCAAGCCCAGATAAAGACGGAGGGTTGGGGAGTGGTGCTAGCAACACCACCCCCAAAACTCAACTAAATCCCCAGAGAAACTTCAATGCACAAATATATTAAGCATTTCAAAGGTATAAACAATAACTTTATTTCTCGCTGAAATCGGGGAAGTGAAATGACGCAGGCTGGTGAAAGCCTTCGGGAAGCCAGTCAGCCAATGTGCCTCCTTCTTTCGATGAAAGCAAAAGTAAGGATGGGTACCTGGAATGTTCGTACAATGTACGAAACTGGAAAGGCTGCCCAGATAGCCGCTGAAATGAGAAGGTACAGAATAGAAGTGTTGGGAATCTGCGAAAGCAGATGGAACGGAACTGGAAGGTGCCAACTACCAACTGGGGAGACAATAATCTATTCCGGCCACCCAGAGGACAACCACGAGCACACCGAGGGAGTGGCCATCATGATGTCACCAACAGCAACCAAAGCTCTCATGCAGTGGGAACCAATCTCCTCCAGGATAATGACAGTCAGGTTCAACTCAAAAGGAAGTGAGCTTACAATCATTCAATGCTATGCACCTACAAACGTCTCAGAACAAGAGAAGAAGGAGGCATTCTACAGACAACTACAAGCAATAATGGACAACGTCCCAGATGGCGATATCAAAATCCTGATGGGCGACATGAATGCGAAGCTGGGAGGAGGCAACACAGGAAGAGAACTCACCATGGGTCGAGAGGCCCTCGGTGAAATGAACGACAATGGTGAACTCTTATCAGACTTCTGCGCCTTCAATGATTTGTTGATTGGTGGCAGTGTGTTCAAACACAAGGATATACACAAGACGATATGGATTTCACCAAATGGACACACCAAGAGCCAAATAGACTTTATTTAAATCTGAAGGTAGAGACGGAGCCTACTGCACACAAGATCGAGAAGAGGAGTAGATGTGGGTTCAGATCACTATCTAGTAGAAGCGACTATTAAGGTGAAGCTAAAAGCCTCGAGGATAGCTGGAGATAAGCCACAATGCAAGTTCAACACTCAATTACTGAAGGACACAACCACAAAGGACACTTTCACTGCAACTGTCAGAGCAAAGCAGGAAACACTACGTGACATCACTGAAGAATCATGCGTGGAAGAACATTGGAAGTCTCTGAAGGCGATTCTCAACGAAACGTGTTCAACGGTTCTAGGAAGAAAGAAGAGACAAGACAAGGAATGGCTCTCAACGGACACTTGGAAATTAATAGAAGAGAGGAGAATGGTGAAAGAGAAAATGATTCAATGCAAGGACGGACAGGAGAAGGAGACGATGAGCTCAACTTACACAGCACTGGACAAAGAAGTGAAGAAGAATGCTAGGAAGGACAAAAGACGATTCTACGACAATCTGGCCAATGAAGCTGAGAAAACAGCAAACAAAAGGGACCTGAGGACACTATATCAGATAACCAAATCTCTATCCGGGAAGAGATCAACACAAGCGAAACCTATAAAAGACAGCCAAGGGAACCCAATCACCAAGGAAGAAAAACAGATTAAACAATGGGCGGATCACTTCAAAGGACTCTTGAACCGACCACCACCTGCAACCCGTCCAGAAATACCAACAACAGCATGTACACAACTGCAAGTTGACACCAATCCTCCAACGAGAGCTGAAGTCTTGAATGCAATCAAGCTTCTGAAAGCTGGAAAAGCAGCCGGACCAGATGGAATACCCCCTGAAGCACTGAAAGCAGACCCAGAGACGACAGCAGATATGCTGACTCACTCCATTATTGCAAAAGGTCTGGAAGGAGGGAAAGGTGCCTACTGACTGGAGGAAAGGTTACCTCGTGAAACTACCAAAGAAGGGCAACTTACGCCTCACTCTGCAAGAACTGGAGAGGAATCATGCTCCTATCGACGCCAAGTAAAATCCTGAGTCGCATCATCCTTGAGAGATTAAAGGACGCACTGGAGACAGAACTCCGACCAGAACAAGCTGGCTGCATTCAGGAAAGGCAAATCATGTACTGACCAAATTGCAACTCTACGCATCATCATCACAGAACAAAGCATGGAATGGCAATCAATCAACCTCTACCTCAACTTTATAGACTTTGAGGAGGCCTTCGACAGACAGCGTTGGCCGCAAAGTAATTTGGAAACTACACGAGTACCACGGCGTACCCCAAATATTCATCAATCACATTCAACAGCTGTATGACAACCGAACATGTCAAGTGATCCACAACGGAAGACTCAACGAGGCGTTTGGAGTAAATACAAAAGTCAGACAAGGGTGCTTATTATATATCACCAATGATATTCCTAATTGTGGTGGACTGACTGGATTATGTGTCAGACAGTGGGAAACTAGCAGACAGGGATATTTTGGACCGACCTGGATTTCGTGGATGATTTATGTTTGATGTCACACACAGAAAATCGGAGACTTGCAGGTGAAAACCGACGAACTGGCCGAAGAAGCAGCCAGTGAAGACAGGACTCCAAGTGAACATAGACAAGGCGGAGGTTATGAAAATAACCAACAAACCAACCAACAACAACAACAGCAGCACCAACATCCAGCGCCAATCACCATCAACGGGAGGAATCTGAAAGACGTTACTTCATTCACTCACTCACTTATCTAGGGAGCATTGTCTCAACTACAGGCAGTCGGAACGGACGGGGATGTTGAATCGAGGTGAGAATCGGGAAGGCGAGAAACACACACATTTATCAACCTAGAACTAATCTCGAAATCTTCGTCACTCAGCCAGCATCAACAACAAAATTCAGTCGGATTTTCAATACAAACAGCGTCAAGTCAGTCAGTTCTTCTTTACGGATCAGAAACTTGGCGGGCGAGTCACAAAGAATATTTCCAACAGTCTGTTTGCAGATCAGTTCTTTATCAACAACTGTCCTCGCTGGCTCTATACTGAAGATCAGATGGCCGGGCCGGACCGGGCCGGAAAGAATCACCAACGAGAAACTATGGGGAGAAACAAAACAAGAACCAATCGCCAAACAAATATGCAGGAGAGAGTGCAGGGAGATGGATTAGACACTCACTGAGGAGGCTCCCTGGGTGACATCGCGCGCACGTCAGGCCATTGCTCGAGTGGAACCAGGCCGAAAGGGAAGAACGCGGCGAGTGGGACGTCAGTGCAAGGGTGACATGGAGGAGATCGTGTGAAGAGTTGAGGAGTTGAGACAGTATGGACTAACATGGATGCAGGTGAAAAGAACAGCAGAAGACAGAAACAAGTGGAGACATGTAGTTGAAGCCCTATGTTCCACTAGGAACCCAAGGGAATAATAATAATTAATACCAAAATCTTTGCGGATAATAACTCTGCAGTGGACAGACTTGATTGCACTTCTTGGCAAATAGATAAAACAAATATAATAAAATAAAATAATAATAAGAAATAATAATACTATGAACTGCAAAGTCCTTTGCTGTTCTTAATCCTGTCAATTGGCCGTCCCACTTTTCCTATTCTTATCAATACTGAAATCACAGCCCTCAATGCTTTGCTTCTTTTACTGATAAACAGCCTTCTTTCATTGTTAATAACCTTTGATCAAAATGGATAAAAGTACCGAGGGAAAGACATAGCGTCAGTCAATGTTATATAGACCACAAACAACACCTAAAAATAGACCAACATCTTTCATAGCTACAGGTGGCAAATGGCTGCTTTTATCGTGTAAGAAGCTGTTTCTCATCATCAAGAATTAGACAAAAAGAAATCAAATGTATATGCAGCAAACACAAAAATTTCATTTAAAATTACTCGCAAAAAAAGTTACTGGGCGTAATTTCAATAGTCGTGCCGAATAAGTCCAGCCCTATGTCATGTAATGAACAAATAGTGTATTCAGCCCGCGGTCTTTTTAATTCGTGCGTTACATTCAATCAACTAGAAACGTGTTTTTCATCTTTACATTTAAGTATAAGGAGTAAATGCAGCATCATACTATGCCGTCGTTAAGGTGTTTTTAGGATTTTTCGATTGTTCACTGCAGGATTAACGACCTCACAGTTTAAAGCCTTGGAAAGAACGATGATTAATTTTTTGAAATCCCTTTTACTCATTTAAAGCCTCTTGCCACAAAATGTGCTGGAATTTACGTGACAAAATGAGTTACTTGAAAGTTCGTGTGAATGAATATCAAGTGTACAGCTGGTGAGACGGCTTTGAGACAATTGAAATACCCATATTTTAAACAGATGTTTGTTTTATATTACAGTTTTCACGCACATAAAATAGGTGGTGTTTGTAATGTCCTTGTGAGCTTATACATTTCTATGCCTTATGCAAGTTTTTTTCGCCTTATTGCGACATCTTTAACTGCGATTGCACATTAGTATTCACATCAGAATGTGCAGTTCTTATTTCTAGACAAGTGTCAACGGATATTCATCAGGAAGAGGTTAGGGTTAATAGATTGTTTATCTTTAACCTGCCTGTCTGAGGATTTCAGACTCCATGTAATAAGGTCTTTGGCTGGGATTTTTCGATACCTATCACTTAATTTACATAGTGATACGGTTATCACAATTTATCTAACTTCTCATGGAAAAAGACAAAAGACCAAGTCACTTTTTAATTGTAACCTATATTTGATCTAAAATCATGACTTATAAATTCAGATGGCATATTAAAATCGTGGTTTGTATCGTCTAGTTGGAAAATAAAAATGCTCTCATTCGTATGTGGTATTGTCGCTTAATTGTAGACTTAAAAATCACTGATTTTTATAGTTACCTGGACTAATTGTATGGTCTGCCATTATATGATGTACTTCTAATCTGTGTAGGACTTGTAACAAACGTTTATTAATCAGTTACTTGGTATGCATTCTTCAATTCAGATGTGGGTAAAGAAGCATGATGCTGAGGAAGGCTTCTCAGTGGCGCTGATGCATCTACTCCTTGTGACTTACAATATCCATTGAAACTATATTATTCTTCGATATTACTATTCTTTTCGCCTCATATCTCTGTTTAATGTCTCTATTCGGCATTTCTTTTTTACTTCTCTTGCTATGTATGCTGAGTGAAGTGTGGCGACTTGAACCGCTGCGCATCAGTGGAAAGTTTTATTTTGGAACCAGTCAGTCAGCTAATTCAGACATAAATCAAATTTTCGACCAGCTACAAACAAACGTGAAGTCTCGTGGCTCGCGTCAACTAGAAAAATCTTGTAATGGTGTGATTGTATAATGGGTAATGAGTTAATGAGGAACCCGTGACTTCAGCCACTCAGGGATTGACTTGCTACCAGGGAATAATCTCGTTGACTTAGAATATGCAGACAATATAGTCCTTCTAGGAGACGACTCTGACAAAATGCAGGGTCTTCTGAACACCTTGAGCCGCAATCTACGAATGTTTGGCATGCGATTCGCTCCCGTCAAATGCAAGATGATGTTACAGGACTGGATCACACTGACTCCTAGTTTTGAAGTGGTAGAGCACGCTGTTCGCTTCACTTATTTGGGAAGTACCATCAGCCCCAACAGGTTGATCTCCGACGAAATCTCGGCACGGATACAGAGGGTTAGTTTCTCATATGTCAGTTTACGCCGTCTGTGGCGTAGACGTGATATCCGGCTGGCTGTCGACCAAAGTGCGTGTGTACTGCTCATCAGTCCGCTCCGTTCTCTTTTTTAGTTGTGAGACCTCGCCATTGAGAGTGGAAGACATGAAAAGCCTGACTAGCTGTCTTTGATCATAGGTGCCTTCGTTCTATCTCCCATGTGAAGTGGTATAAGTGGTATAGAACATAGGCATTCCTACCGGCGTCCAACAGTCATTATATTTCTTGACCTAAAGGCAGCATTCGACTCTGTCGATCGGGAAGTTCTCTGGAGATGCTTGGCTGTAAAGGGAATTCCAAGAAAATATATTGCACTGATTAAGGCATTCTATTCGTACTCATACAGCCAGGTGAGGGCTTACGGCGAGCTGTCATCCGAACTGATGACGACCAGTGGTGTCCGTCAAGGATGCCCATTATCTCCTTTTCTATTCAACTTCATCATAGATGTGTTAATGGACTTAACCCTAGGTGACTTCAGCGACTCAGGGATTGACTTGCTACCGGGGAATAATCTCGTTGACTTGGAATATGCAGACGATATAGTCCTTCTAGGCGAAGACGCTGACGAAATGCAGAGTCTTCTAAACACCTTGAGCCGCAATCTACGAATGTTTGGCATGCGATTCGCTCCCGCCAAATGCAAGATGATGTTACAGGACTGGACTGCATCGACGCCTAGTTTAAAAATAGGAAGTGAAGTGGTAGAGCACGTTGACCGCTTCACTTATTTGGGAAGTACCATCAGCCCCAACGGGCTGATCTCTGACGAAATCTCAGCACGAATACAAGGGGCTCGTTTCGCATTTGTTAGTTTACACCGACTCTGGCGTAGACGAGATGTTCGACTATCGACCAAAGGGCGGGTGTACTGCTCATCAGTCCGCTCCGTCCTCCTTTATGGTTGTGAGACCTGGCCACTGAGAGTGGAAGACATGAAAAGACTAGCTGTCTTTGATCATAGGTGCCTGCGTTCTATTTCCCGTGTAAAGTGGCATAATAAGGTGAGCAACATGGAGGTTAGGCGTAGAGTTCTAGGTAAACAGGGGAAATCAATCAACGAAGTCGTGAAGCTACGTCGACTGAGATGGTTAGGACATGTGTTACGTATGCCAAGCCATCGCCTCCCTCGACGAGCAATGCTAGCGGATATAGGGTCAGGCTGGAAAAATGCTAGCGGCGGTCAAACAAAAACTTGGCATCAGTCAATGAAATCCACAACAGTTGGTCTAAGCCACGTAGAAAGGTGTAGACTTCCAGGCTGGGGTCCTCGGGACGGTAAAAATCAATGGTTGGAAACAATTGGTGACATGGCTCAAAATCGTTCTCAGTGGCGCAGATGTATCCACTCCTTGTGACTTCCAGTTAAACTATGTTGTTCTTCTTAACTACTATTCCTTTGTCTCACACCTCTGCTCACTGTTTCTATTATGCTTTTCTTGTACTTTCTTCTCTTGCTTCGCGTGCTACACGGAATGAGGCGACTTGAACTTCCGCACATTTGTGCAAAGTTCTATGTCGAAAACAGACAGACAGACAGACAGGTATAATAAGGTGAGCAATATTGAGGTTAGGCGTCGAGTTCTAGGTAAACCGGGAAATGAATCGACGAAGTTGTGAAGTTACAAAGACTGAGATGGTTAGGACATGTGTTACCTATGCCTAGTCATCGCCTTCCTCGACAATGGGCAATGTTAGCAGATATAGGGTCAGGCTGGAAAAAAGCTAGTGGCGGTCAAACAAAAACTTGGCACCAGTCAATGAAATCTACAACAGTTAGTTTAAGTCAGCCACGTAGGAAGGTGTAGACTTGCAGGTTGGGGTCCTCGGGACGGTAAAAATCAATGGTTGGAAACAATTGGTGTCATGGCTCAAAATCGTTGTCAATGGCCCAGATGTATTCAGTCTCTGTAATCTTTCATATTTCTTTCTACCATTACTCATTCTGTTTCACTCTTATACTTGTCAAACTCTATTGATTCACTTCACTCATATTCTTGTCTACCTTTGTGTGCTATTTGGAACGTGGCAACTCGAACTGGTGCACTTCGGTGCCAAGTTCTATGTTGAATCCAGACTGACAGACAGACAGACATAGGAACCCGTAGAAGTTGTGTCTCTCAGCTTTTAATACGTCCTATGTGTATTCCCCCTCTAAATTTTAGGATATCTCTGGGCCAAAATGCATATTTAAACTTTAGTTTTCCGTATGAATTCACTTATGTTAACTTTCGATCATTTGTAGATTATTTTCTGCCGTCTCTTGTAATATCCACTTTGCGCCCAATCGCAGTCAACTAACGTAAAGTAGTTTCACCAGAAAACGAATGTCGTGGTTCCGAATACAGTTGCTTAAAACTCCTAAATACGTTTGTCAACGACTTCTAAACACTCATGCTAAGTTGAGTCCACTGGCTGATGCTTTCAACTACTGCCACTTAAATGCAGAGAACGAACTGTTAAACAAAACTACAGGTTGTTTTGTGCAATAATGATATCCTAACTTTCATAGGACTTTTTACTCAACCGAGTTTAATATCTCCACATGGTTTTCAAAGTCTTGTCAGCTCCACTATGAAAGAGTGCCACATTCTGTTAAATGAAGCTATTTCTGAAACCAGGGTTAGGAAGATGGTTCAGGTTGGTTTGATTAGAACATTTCTAATGTTCATTATTCCTTTCGTTTTTGTAACTATTTTCCATTGCGGTTTGTTTTTATAAAGTGCCATAAATCTATGACAATACGGTTTGTTGAAGCGTCAACCAGTTCACCAACCAGAAATGAAACAAAGCTCCTATAGATTTGTGCGTAGTTCTTAAGGTTTCATAAGACAACAGATTATCTTTACCACAGCAACTGATAATTTTTACGTATGGATTACTTAAAAACCATGAAATCATGTGCGTACCGCTTCTTGCTGCATAATCCTTATGGTTCGGAGATGCTTTCTGGTGAGTCGAGTGAAATATTAATTTTTCACCTCTGTCGTTCATAATGGGATAATCGTGTCCTTATCTACTTTACGCTTTAGAGACTCGGAGCCCATCATATATTTTAAAATACAATAATTGGAAGGGGGTGAATTGTATTTCATCAGCTGAATATGACAATGTGAGTAACCCAATTATATTGGTTTCTCTAAAGTTACTGTAAGACCCACTGCCTCATCAACTGAAAGCTTTGGGAAAGCGAACAAAATATTGAACATAAGATTCATGAAACTCTCTTAAGTGGGATTTATTCATAAATAGATGGAGACTTTGTAGTGCCGAAAATGAACAGTCTCATTACCAAAATCTTAAATTGCATTTTTAAATGATTCAGCTGAAGTCCAGAGTCGTTTTATAATAATATTTCTTTGCAGGCTGTTATTAATCGGAATAGAATAAATTGTTAGTTTGAGGATATGCATTCACACAAAAACGATACATCACAGAATTAGTGAATTCAAAAAAAATTTTGAAGCACCAATGTAATTGTAGAAGTAGTACTGAGACCCATATAGTATCACGTGTTCACTTTCACATAGTTTGCCCAAGGTAAGCAGTGTTGATCTTCTTATCAAACCGATACTATTGTTAATCAGTTTACTGTTTTATGGATTATTTACTCTTCAGTGTAGCACTTAAAACTAGTTAGTGCTAAACTGTTTCCATATCGGAAAATCGTCTAATTTCTCGAAGTTTTCATAATAATGCCAAAGATCCCATCAATAGGGCCATGTAGACGATGTTAGCATCCCGACTTTCACACTTTACCAAAAGAAGAGTACAATTGATTTTAATAGTAGGTACCAAAGGTGTTCGGTTTCTTATATGAATTGCTACCATGTTCAATAGCTTTTAAGACTCGGGTGATTTAGGCTGTTAGTCACACTGAATATCTTTTGGTGAATTCTCTTTCATTTGAGTTAAAATTTCAAAGCTTTAAAACTTATTACCCTCACTACCTCATAATTTACTATGATTTATCATCCAGCTTTCAGTATTTCACAGTTTCTCGAAATTCCCTTCAGATATTGGACGACATTTCAGACAGTCTTTGTCGAGTTGCTGATTTGTCCGATTGTATGCGAATGCTTCACCCTGGTGAAGCGTATCGTTATTCTGCTCAAAAAGCATGTCAATCAATAGGTCAACTGGTTGAAGAGTTAAATACTAACTCCGAGCTATATAATGCCTCTATACGAGCATGTAGATCACCTCCTATAAATAAATTAAGTCCAGATCTACACATGGATAATGTCGATAAACGTGTGCTTGACTTATTTGTTGCTGATTTCGAGCTCTCCGGTGTTCAATTACAAGATCCCAGTCGTCATCAACAATTTGTCCGTGCTGCTTCACTTGCTTTAAACTATGGAGCTGAATTCATTGAGGTAATTTATTAGTAGAATATTTATTTTTTTTTCGTTTGATAAATTTGTTTCACTGTTTAGAGGGTAAAGTGTGTAGGCTACCTAGCGGTAGTGTTAAGTATCGAAAATCAAAGACTGCGATATGGTTCAAATTCTTTTGTAATGTTCTAGATGGACTTACTACTGATGCTATAGACCCTGGTGATACACGTCTGTTCAAAGTTGTACGCTGATTTTTCTGTTTCTCATATGAAGTAGAATAAAAAAAGGGATGTTTTGAAATGAAGATTTAGACAAGAAAATAGTGTGATCCTAAATAAGTCTTTTCTTTCATGTATGCAAGAAAAAAAACAGCGCTGGTAATACTTATTCGCTGCCCAAATCTAGTAGGTGAAACGGGCTTCGAAATGATTGCTATATAACTATTATAAACTAATAAGCTATAACTACTAATGACTTCTAACCTTTTACCAATTTTTCTTGAAGTAGCACTATTTAAAGACTACTTTATTTTTCATCTTGCAAAGCGAAGTAAATCTTTATAAAAATTATTAGTATAAAATCTTGATTATTCGTCATTATCGTTTAACTACTGTACTACTGTGTCTCGACTGGAAGCGCAACTGACTGACTGACTGATTAACTGATCTGAACATATAAAACTTTGTACAGAAGTGCAGCAGTTCAAGGTGCCACACTCCATTTAACACATACAAAGAAAGTCAAAAGAGGGATTCAAAAGAACAGCTTTTTCTGTTCTCTATAATAAGAATATAATGCTAAAGTTATTATAACTCCTATGTAAATTCCACACAGTCGCAAATGGTGTTTGTATGATTTCAATGAGATGCAAAAGTATCACTTCGCTGGGCAACACCAACAGCAGCACCAGCAGCAACAACAACAGACAACGATCAACATAAATGGGTGGAACCTGAAGGAAACAACCTCCTTGACCTACCGACTTGGGAAAGCATCGTCTCAACTACAGGTGGTAGAAACTGATGAATATGTCATAGCGAGAAAAATCAGGAAAGCAAGGCAAACTTTCATTACTCTCAAGTCGGTTTAGAGGTCAACAGCACTCAGCATCAAAAATAAGATCCGGATTTTCAACTCGAATATGAAGTCAGTGCAGACTTGGAGCCAGGTGAAAGCTTTAGCAGAGAACCGAACGCAATGGAGACGTTTGGTTGAAGCCTTATGTCCCCCCAAGAATAACAGGAAATAATAATAATAATCACTTCATTGAATTACTTGTTTTTAATTTGTGTATTTTCAATTTTTCCCATAAGCCATCTTCCACATGATGTTATTTGCTAAATAGTATCTAACGGTGAAACCTCGGGTTTTTTATTTGATACTTATTGTCCTGGCACAATGTGCATATCCTAGATTTTGTACAAAGAGGGTGTCCAAAATGAGTTCTTGACAATGTCGTAAACTATGTTTGACGTGTCTATATGTTAATCAAAATTGGTAACTTCGGTGTAGTGTAACGGATAGTGACGAAATAGAAGTTCACACAGATAGCTCTGTTACACTATTTATAGGGTCATGTACAAATTTCTATACTTTGATGTATTTGCTTTGAATTTTCACCAGAGATAGAAGGGATTTAAAGAAAGTTGAATCTTTCATCTACCTGACCTGTGGAACGTTGTTTCAACTACTGGCGGTACGGAATATAATGTCAAAAGCGGTTAGGATCGACAAAATTAAAGCAGGCGATCATTAGTCTGAAATTGGTATGGAGATCCATAGCTCTAACCACAAGGAATAATATCTGAATTTTCAAGATTAATGTCAAGTTAGCATCTTTGTATATTTCAAAGCCTTGTCGAGCACATTAAAAAAACTGTAGACTTTCATCAACGGCTGTCTTCGCTCGATAATGAAGATCAGATGGCGGCTGGTCAAAGAAAATAAGCAACACGGCAATCTGGCAGCAAACCATACAAGGACCTATTGTTCATAAAACAGGCAGAAGGAAACGGAAATGGGTCAGACATTCTCTGCAGAGACCGTTGAGAATGGTAACACACGCCAGACTCTCTAATGGGACAGCAGATGAGGGAAGCCCAAAGAGTTGGTTGGGCTTTCGAGGTTTATTAAATGAAAGAGACCATATCAAGGGGGAGAGAGTGAAATTTATTTATTTATTTATTCCACAAGTAGTACTAGTGTTAATGATATTTTTATTGTTTTCATCTCTGTAATATTCAGTTCTCTGCATTTTCTATGAATCCACATTATTATAATCTAGGCGTGTCATAGTCCAGTATCATTTCCATCGAAATTTATACCAAACAGACAGTCTAATTCAATTGAACTTATACATCCACTTACTGATCATCCTGATTCTGCCGTGCGTTTGGCCACTTATCAGGCTTATTATGCACCGATAGAAGGTCAAGAGAAACGCTTAGAACAGCTTTTGAGTGCAAGACATGAAATGGCACAGTAAGCCTTTTTCGTTTTTATTTCTGTTGACAGTACTCACACTTACCGAGTATACAATAAATGCTGGTTTGATTGTGTATCTAAAATGTCTATGGACTAAGTGAAGATTTGCAACTCCCTCATATTAGTGCTGAACTTGTAGCCAGTGGATCAGCAAATCGTACCCCACTTCACCTGCCAAGGTTTTAAGAGCCAGATATTGTATCTAGCTTTCAATTGATAACTGTGTCTCATTTACTAAGATCATGGATATTCACATAATTGCTAATAGGTAAAGTTTTACAGTTTCAGGGAAAAATGTTGAAATCAAAACGTTCAGTTGACGAGGTGAGCACGTTACCACTAAATGACTAAGTTGGAATCCAGTAGCTCATTAGATTTTACTTCTGTCAATTCGTTACATAGCACTACTGCTGTTCAATGGTATCCGCAATTACCTGGTCGTCACATCTGCTGCGGCGGACTCCATAGATTACGACTTCTCAGTAGACAGAATCCCAGGGAATCCACTCACACTAGTCAGTCACTATATTATCGGCACTAGGTCACAAACTGATAAAAGTTAGAACTCATGAACCACGGGATTTCGAGTTAGTACCTGAATGACAACGTGCTCTCATCGTAAACAGAAAGTCCTAGACTAGTTGCCTGGTGGAGTCATGAGTGTTATACTGCGGAGAGGAGCCCTAAAGTGGGTCGAAAAAAGCGGTCTAGTGCTCTTTGCTTTTCAATGGTTTTGTAAACAATTTGTGTGTATGTGTGTGCGCGTGACAAAGTCTACTTTGCTAAATAATTTATGACTTAATACCACCCGCTTCATAGGGAATAGTTGCATATGAGATCCAGAGATTCGTATTGAGTTTTAGGTTCTTGATAAGCGCGATTCTGGTTACTTTCTTATTCAGCTTTAACTTTCTTGATATGTGATTATCTCCGCTTCTCTTTTCTCTTGATCTGTTTCATCAAAGAATCGCACATATGCTATGGCAGCAGTGTAAATTAGGAACTTTCATATTGAAGCATTATATATTTTATGGTTGGAATACCATGGCGATTCCACTAAAAGTAACCTATATTAAGTCTTATCGCTCTCACTGCCATTCTCTGTAGCTCTGTTAGTATTTAAAAACTACTCCTAACGCTTCATCGAAACCGGTGACTACTGTCACTCTTGCATTTCTGCCGTGCAAGCGCATACCTACTTTAATTGGACACTTAACTAGTGTGACGTGTCTATCCCTTTGTTTGGTGCAGACGGAATTCTGCCAGTCAGGTTTGCAATGTGGCCACCATTCTGGGTAGCTCGCCATTACGGTGCACACTGGCTCTTTGATATTCAGTGGTTAGAGGCGGTCGGCAGGCAGAAAGCCTTCGACCTAGGTTTCGTGCCAGGTGGCAATCACCAGTCAGCCAGGCGTACTTGCAACCTTGAAGGGACTCATGTCCTTTCTGAGATTCGAACCGGTGTCATCCAGTGCCACCTGCTATCAGAGATGTTACCACTGAGCTATTCGGCCTCATTAGCATGTGATTAGTATATTGAGGAGTTCTATTGAAGGTAACAAAACACTCAGTGTATACTATGGCATTCCTTTGTTCAGAGTCTAACCTTTATCTTAAAAAAAGAACTGTGAATATGTTTTCTAGCCTAAGTGCCTCAAAACTCATAATTTCTTCCTGTCTCTTGCAGATTTTTTTTGCACTAGACAGATTAGTATTAACTGATCACGGTGCACTGTGTTTTGTGATAGAAATTGGTTATGCACAATGGTAGCTTAATTACTTTTCTACGTATTAATCTTGATGTTCTGGGTGTCTGTGAAAGTTGCAGATTAATTGAGCAATATTGAGGTTAGGCATTGAGCGCTAGGTAAGGAGGGGAAATCAATCAACGCGGTTGTGAAGTTACATGGATTGAGATGGTTAAGATATGTGTTAAGCATGCCTAGCCATCCGTCTGCTACCTCGATGGTCAATGTTAACTGACATAGGATAAATCAGGTTGGAAAAGAGCCAGTGGTGGTCACAGTGGTTAGGACTCTCGCCGACCATGCACATGGTCCGGGGTTCGAGCCCACGCCGGCGCACACCTGATATCTATGGTCGGCCTGCAAAATTCGGGCTACCGATATCCATGCTGAAAATTCCATACTTGTGCCAAAAATACAGTGTGGAATCAAGCTGTAAATCAAAAATAAAAAAAAAAATAAAAAAACCAAAACATAACCTCATCAGTCAATGAAATTCACAACAGTTAGTTTAAGTCAGCCACGTAGGGGGGTGTAGACTTCCTGACTGGTTGGGGTCCTCGGGAGGGTAAACACCAATGGAGGCTGGAGACAGTTGATGGTATGGCTCAAAATCGTCGTTCTCAATGGCTTGCGCAGGTGCATCCACTCCTTATGACTTATAATTTCCAATAAAACTATATTGTTCTTCGATATTACCATTCTTTATGCCTCATGTCTCTGTTTACTATCTCTATTTTGCATTTCTTTTCACTTTCTTCTCTTGCTTTGTGTGCTGAGTGAAGTGTGGCGACTCAAACTGCTGCACATCAGTGCAGAGCAGTTTTATGTTGAAACTAGTCAGCCAGGAAATCCCTTCCAGCTGTATAAAGAAAGGCTAATCATAGTAATAGTCAACTCAGTGAAACACCACCGCCTTCAAATATTTTTGTTACTTATTTCATTCAAATAACTTCCCACTGGATACAAACATAATCCATAGCTTTCGTTGTTTTGTTGTCGTTGTTTTTTTTAAATTTTTTTTGCAGAGCCGCTGGTTTTAAAAATTATGCTAAACGTTCTACACTGCATAGTTTGGCTGAAACACCTGAAAATATTGAAGAATTTCTTCAGCATGTTTGCCAGAAACTTCATCCAATTGCTACAGAAGTAGTTAGGGAACAGTTTTTGCCAATTGTTAAGAGCTGTTATCAAAAAATGACTGACAATAAACAAAATCAGTATGATACTAATGTGATTCGGCCTAGTGATTTACCTTATGTCTTGGGTGCTAAACGTAATGCCATATACAGTAATGTAAGTCATATCATTATATATATTATATATATATATATATATATATATATATATATATATATATATACTTTCTATAAATATCTGGACACACATAGCTCTCAGCAACTCCGCATATTTCTTATGACCATGACTATCGAAATTCCTAAGTGTGGCTTATTAACACACTACTTTACAGTACAAGTAAACGCTTTCCAAGCCATGTGCCACTAGGATTTACTGTCACCCGACCCAGTTTGTTACTGAATGAACACAGGAGCCTCCACTTTCAGACGCAAACAGTACATCTACTTAGGAAACATTTGCACTAGAAACCCATTCTTGCCGTCAACATACTTCATCATGGATGACAAGATTCCAGCTACCAATCTACATCTTTCTAACTCACAAGCTACTGCATCTGACTTGACTGCCTCACTCATATGCCTTCATGAGTAATCAGTGGCCTCATGCTAATGATTGTTAGTGCTAAGGTTTTGATAATCAGGGTGACCCTAGGCTAATTGAAATTAAGAACCAGACGTGTGAGTTTGTCTGTGGTTAGTTAACAAGGATACCAAACTATAGTCCAGCGTAAAAGGGAGACGAAAGTCGAACCATCAGATCATTAGGTTATAATGTCGACTACCGCCGATAAGGTATTCTGATGCGCATACAACAAGAGTATAGTGTCCATCACTAAGATGCTGCTAGCAGAGCACCGGATGCCGTCTACCCCCTGAGCATTTTAAGACGCCAAACGAATCTGAAAGTCCAAAAATTCACGTTACAGAGATGATATCAGCACAAATATGACTTAGGACGGAGCCTTTGACCAGCATCAACCTACTGGGGCAGATAACACCGGCAGACACTCACCTAATCTGTAACTTGGAAACTACTTCAGCACTACGGTGTACCTCAAGCCTTTATTAACCTCGTTCAACAGCTATATGACAGTGTCACGTGTCAGGAGATCCACAACTGGAAACTCAATGAGTCGTCCGAAGTGAATACAGGAGTAAGACAGGGCTGACTGCCTATTATCACCGATGATATTCTTAATTGTGGTAGACTGGATTATGCATCATACTGTGCAGGAATACGTTTGACCTCTAAAAAAACTCAGATCTGGATTTCGTGCCTGGATGATATGTCTAATGTCACACAAACTCGAAGACTTACAGGCGAAAAACACCAAGTTGACAAGAGAGGCTGGCAGCAAAGACAGGAGTCCGGGTGAAGATAGGGAAGACGGAGGTGATGAAGATAACCAACCAACCAACCAACAACAACAACAACGAGCACCAACTACCATCACCATCTTAAAACCAGTTTGGAAGTCTGCACTCTGCCTCAGAATCAAAAACAATATTCGGATTTTCAACACAAATGTGAAGTCATTCATTGAGTTCTTCTATGCAGGTCAGAAGCTTGACCGGTATATCACGGAAAGCATTTGTAACGGGCTGCTGCAGACTTTTATCAACAGCTGCCCCATTCTCTAGCTCAATAATGAATATCAAATAGCCGGCTGGCCGGCCAGAAGGAATCAGCAACAAGAAACTCTGGCTGTCTAGGCAGAAATCATCCAAAGCCGGTCGTTCAACAAACATAAAGAAGAAAATGTAGATGGATTGTGCATACGTTGGGGAGGCTGTCGAATGATATCGCGTGTAATGCAGGCCGTTGCTTGAGGGGAATCCAAATGGTAAGTAACGAGTGGGTCGTCGGTGTGAGGGTGAGTTCGAGGGAGATCGTTTGACGAGTCGGAGACAAGAGATTTCGGTCAATCATGGACCCAGGTGAAGAGGACAGCAGAAAATAGAAGAAACCGGAGGTGTGTTATTGAAACCCTATGTTCCACTTGGAACCCAAGAGAATATTTAAAAAATAATAATAATAAATGTCTGTTTCGGTCGCTTGAAAGTCGTCTTACAGGAAAATCAGTCATATATTTAAGACTCCTCTTTCACTAACATGCTCATTGAAAGAATTAAAAGAATCAAGTTAGATCAGTGATCATAAAAACAGCTAATTGAGTGAGTGGTAAATTCTTTTTTGGATTGATGTGAAGCGGTAATTAAGTCGATTTAAGTTTATTATTGGTAATATATATATATATATATATATATATATATATATATAATATTTCAGTGAGTCTATGCTTTTGGTATCATTTTAGTTAATTGTGCTTAACTGTATTGCATGTTGTTGTATTGTATTGTTGTTGTCACTTTTTGCCCTTTTTGCTGTGAATTATTTTCCTCTTGCCGGTGTTCTGATTGTTTTATTCTTTGTTTTCCGATTTTATGGGGAACAACCCAAAAGGTCGCTTCTCTCTAAACTTTATCTTAGTGTAACAATTCCTTTCTCAGGTGTGAGGCTAGCAACCCCACCCTGTAAACAAAGTTGCTACAGAAAGTTCAGCATGATGAATCTCTTTGCGCCAAAAGAAAAAGTCCGTGTGGGGACATGGAATGTCCGCACTATGTACGAGATTGGCAAAGCTGCCCAGATCGCAAACAAGATGAAAAGATACAGAATCCAAGTACTGGGGATATGTGAAAGCAGATGGAACGAGAATGGACTCACTAAATTGTCAACTGGTGAGCCAGTGATCTACTCCGGTCACCCAGAAGATAACCACACGCACACCGAGGGCTTCGCTATCATGATGTCACCAACGGCCACAAAGGCCCTGCACCCACAAACAACGCAGACCTTGAAAAGAAAAAAGGATTCTACAGACAACTACAGGCAGCAATGGACAATACGCCAAACTGGGACTAGACAACACAGGAAGGGAACTCATCATGGGTAGAGAAGCTCTCGGAGAAATGAATGAAAATGGAGAACTCTTCGCCGACTTCTGCGCCTTAAACGAACTAGTGATTGGTAACAGTGTATACAAACACAAAGATATCCACAAAGCCACACGAGTGTCACCAGATGGGCAAACCAAAAACCAAATTGACTTCATCTCAATGGTGCTCAAGGAAGTGGAGGCGCAGCCTACTGGACACAAAGGCAAGAAGAGGAGCAGACGTTGGCTCAGACCACTATCTCGTACAAGGGACAATCCAAACCAAATTAAAAGCTTTCAGGGAAACAGGAGCTGCAGACAGACCACAAGCCAAGTTCAACACTCAAAAACTGAAGGACCAAGATACAAAGGACATCTTCATTGCAAGCATAAAGGACAAAGCCGAGACACAAATCAACACTAGCGAAGAGGTCGGCGTCGAAAAGCACCGGGACAACTTGAAAACGGTGTGGAGTCAAACCTGCATGGAAGTTCTAAGCAGAAAGACGAGACAGGACAAACAGTGGCTCACTACGGACACTTGGAAACTGATAGAAGAGAGAAGAACAGTGAAACAAAAGATTATTCAGTGCACCGACGAGCAACAAAAACAGGAGTTGAATGCAACCTACAATACACTGAACAAAAGAGTGAAGAAGAGTGCCAGGGAAGACAAAAGAAAATATTATGAAGCCATGAAAGTGAAGCAGAACAAGCTGCAGGCAAAGGAGCCCTCGCCACACTCTACCAAACAACTAGGAACCTATCGGGCAAAAGTTCGACACAGATTAAGCCAGTAAAGGATGACAATGGAAAGTCAACCACCAAAGAGGTGGAGGAAAGAAAACACTGGGCTGAACACTTCAAAAGACTTCTAAATCGACCGCCACCTACAACGCGCCCAACAATACCAACAACGGAAGCAGAACTACCAGTGAACATCGACCCTCCGACGAAATCAGAAGTCCTGGATGCAATCAGGATGCTAAAATCTGGGAAAGCAGCAGGACCAGATGGAATCCCATCAGAAGCATCGAAAATGGACCCAGAGATAACAGCGGACTTGATGACACCACTACTGGAGAAGGTGTGGAAAGAGGGCAAAGTACCTGAGGATTGGAAGAAAGGATATTTATTCAAACTACCAAAGGAAGGAGACTTATGTCATTGCAAGAAATGGCGCGAAGTTGTGCTCCTGTCCATGTCAAGCAAAATACTAAGCCGAATCATCCTGGAGAGAATCTAACACACCAACCTGGATGAATAACTTCGACCAGAACAAGCTGGATTAAGGAGAAACAAGTCATGCATTGATCAAATCGCCACTCTACGGACCATCATTGAACAAAGCTTGGAATGGCAGTCACCTCTCTATCTCACTCAACTTCATAGACTTTGAAAAGGCCTTCGACAACGCAGCGTCGATCGAGAGGTGATTTGGAAACTACTTCGGTACTACCAAGGGGTCCCATCGACAATTATACATCTCATCCAACAGTTGTACGACAATGCTGCATGCCAAGTAATCCACAACGGGAAACTTACGGAAGCCTTCGAAGTGAGGACGGGAGTGAGACAAGGCTGTCTACTATCGCCAATGATCTTTCTGATTGCAGTAGACTGGATAATTTGAGAGACAGCGGGCAATGAGGATACAGGCATAAAATGGACCCTAACTAAAAACCCGGAGGATCTGGACTTCGCCGATGTGGTATATATGTCTGATTTCCCACAAACTGGAAGATATGCAAGTGAAAAGGAACAAGCTGGCACAAGAAGCATCAAAGATAGGACTTCAAGTGAACATAGATAAAACAGAGGTAGGTGATGAAGATTCCTGGCCAACAGCAACAACAACAATCAGCCAGCATAAATGGGAGGAACCTGAAAGAAACAATCTCCTTGACCTACCTGGGAAGCATCGTTTCAACTACAGGCGGATGGAACTGATGAGGATATCAAAGCCAGAATCGGAAAAGCAAGACAAGCTTTCATTGCCCTTAAGTGTGTGTAGGTCAACAGCACTCAGCATGACAATGTAAATAAGATCCGGATTTTCATCTCCAATGTGAAGTCAGTGCTACTTTACGGATCAGAGACTTGGCCAGCGCGTCATAAAGAGCACCTCAAACAAACTTCAGACCTTCGTTAACAGTTTTCTTCGCTCATTACTATTCAAGATCAGATGGCTGACCAGAAAAGATCAGCAACAGGGTGGGATCTCTGGCAATGAGCGAACCAACACAGCAGGAACCGATTGTGATACAAATGGGCAGGAAGAAATGAAGATGAATTGGCCATACTCTGAGGAAACCATCAAGTGACATCACTAAACAAGCCATTGCCCGAGTGGAACCCGAACGGGAAGCGGGCGGCGAGATGGTCGTCAGTGTGTGTGTGTGTGTGACTTGGAGGAGGTCATGTGAAGAGGATATGAAAGCATGTGGGCAGACTTGGGGCGGGCTGAAAAGTTGGCAGAAAACCGAAGACAATGGAGATGAGCAGCTGAAGCTCTATGTTCCTCTAGGAATTAAAGGATGTAATAATAGTAATAATAATATTTCGAATCCAAAAGACCCAATTATTAATCATAGCATCACAGTAAGAGTTGTGCCTGATACTGGGCTTCTTAAAGTTTTCAACCTCACCCATCCGAAATGCAGTAAAAATTACAAATGATCTGAAAAAAATACGCATACGGCCATATACTACTGATTGACCTATATATGTAGTTGAACCCCACTTACATTCAACAGTAGTATTCTAAACACCAGACGACCGTTTTGCTTGCTTTGGACCGAGCTTATCAGCTGTGTGCTAGGTGTGGCTCACATCAGCTCAGTTTATACTGAGATCTGAATATTTTTGACTTTCAAATTAAGACTGGTGAAATGTCACCTGGAACTGTGTAAATTGTAAATCCGAAAGTTAATTTGTTATATGCTGATTCTGCCCAAATAATGGGACAATAAAATTATATATATGGGTGAAATTTGAAGAAAGTCACTTATTCCACTTATCCAGACAATGTCGTCTCAACTACAGGCTGACAGCATTGATGAAGGTTTCATTGACAGGATTGGAAAATGCAAGACAGACCTTGACTACTCTGAAATCAGTATGAAAATACCTACTGTACTCTGTGTAAAAATCAAGATTCCAATTTTCATCACCAACGTCAGATCAATGCTCCTTCAAATGGTTCAGTGACTTGATCTGCGCGTCACCAAAAAGCATTTTGGACAGGCTTCAAACATTTATCAACAACTGTCTCTACTTCATTCTGAAGATCAGATGACTGGCTTGAAACAATAAGCAACGAAGAACTAGTCAAGAACCTGTTGCCCAAAAGTTGTGCAGTATTCAACACAAACGGACTGACTGGATGCACATTGAATAGACCATTGAGTGACATCATGTACCAGGTCGTCGAGGAGAAGCTGAATAAAAAACGATGAGTTGGGTGTCTTGAGGGTGAAATGAAAGAGATCGTGTAAGTGGTAGGTGAAAGTCTGTGGGCAGAAAACAGGATGAAATGGTTACGTGCTGTTGAATCGCCATTTTCTACTCGGAACCGAAGGGAATAATAATAATAATAATAAGTGTTACTCGAAGTTTCTGATTGATTCTACCACTTTTGTAATCTTCCGTTGAGGACATCATCTAATGCGCTATCTTCTGCTCTTTTCCGCTTTTAAAATGACAACTATATTGAACAGTCGAAATTTGTTCCGAAATAATTTTTTTTCAAAATCTTTCAAAATTCCTTTGCATCTTTTTTTTTATCTTCTTTTTGTCAACAATAGCACTTAGCTGACTACTTTTCGTTGGGTGCGTGTATGGAAGGTGTGAGTCAATTAGCAAATTGTCTATTTGGTTTACGCCTAGAGGTTGTACCAGTTGAATCTGGTGAAACATGGCATCCGTCTGTTGTCAAAGTTAATATCTATTCATCAAATGAGAAGCATTCAACAGAGCTTATCGGAACAGTGTATTGTGATTTACTCGATCGTCCTGGTAAACCGGCACAAGTAAGTTGACTTATAATCGTGGATAGTATTCTCAAATGAGAGTTTCATTTGTTAAGGTAACATATTATTTTTTGTGTTCGTTATAATATATTGATCATGTATGTACTTTTCTTAACTTAGGTGTACCAAACCTTTTTATTATTCCTGGCATTGTATACTATTTAAAAAAATATGTTTTGACGGCGTTCACAAGTGTACCTCTAATAGAAACAGTTAATTACATGGGTGAACAAGTGGACAAGCAGTCGATAAACATTGGCATCCATACTGAGATCCTAAAAGAATTGATATTAACCTGTGCCATGAATGTAAACTTCAAATTTGACGGCATGCTTTACAGGCAAGTGGACGGGGTGGCGATGGGCTCCCCATTGGGTCCCATTCTGGCTGATTTCTTTCTAAGTAAGATAGAAAATGGACCTCTGAACAACCTTATCAGTAAGCTCTCATTTTATTGCCGGTATATGGATGACACCTTCATTCTTTGTGATAATGGTTCTGATAGGAGTACAATAATTACTGAATTCAATGAAGTGTATTCGGCTATGAAATTCACTTGCGAAGAGGAATCCCAAGACAGAATTGTCTTCCTAGGTGTCCTATTTACAAGAAAACCAGATGGTAGCATAAAGAGAAATTCGCTCGGGAAAAGCACATGGACGGAACAATATACACATTTTCATAGCTTCGCTCCTATCAAGTACAAAAGAAATTTAGTAAAGACGCTCAGTCACAGAGTTAGATCTATATGCTCAGAAGAAGTATTTGAAGATGAACTTAGGATTGTATATGATACTTTGGTCGAGAATAACTATTCCTAAAAAATTGTCAAGAAACACATGACAAAGAAAGCGGAGAAGGACTACTCACTATCTGTAAAAAAGAAGCCACTTTATATACGACTACAAGTCAAGGGTGACATACCAAGTGGGCTAATTACGAGGAGCTTAAGAAAACCAGTTCAAAGAACTTTTAATCCTGGCAAACTACACGTCTTATTCTCTACACGACCGATGGTGCTACTCCAACTGAAAGATGAAGTACCTAGACTAGCTAGCCACTTCAAATTGTATCCATCAATTCAACTGCGCTTGTGGAGCGAGTTATATCGACCGTTGCTCTAGGAACTTGATTTTCCGTGCTCCCTCGAGAACATATCCCAGCATGGCTAAGTAAAAGTGTAGTGAAAAAAACATTAACAGTTCGATATTGGACCATGTGGTGCAAACCGGCCAGACAGCCAGCGTGGAAGAATCCTTCTCTATCATCATCTACCGGGTACCTAATAAATTGCCAAAATCATCGAAGCACCGCATGCTCAAAACATCAGAGGCTATTGCAATTCGCAACAAACAACCAGTACTGTGTGTGCAAAAGAGGCAAGTCCAGTACCTACTACTACCTTGGCCTTCAGTAGAGACTATAAATTGATGAAATTGTAATATTATCTTCCCTAATTTTTCTGACATTCAGCTTATTTTATGTTGATGCTATTGGAGTGTAATCCATTGATATTATTATTATTGATTCGATGTTATTTAAACAACATTATTGTTGTTCATAACACTAATTCATTCATTCACTATAATGTACATGTAACTATAGAGCCTGATGATGAAGTTATCGAGAAGAGTACTCTTTTTTCAGTATCCATTATTTTGAAAATTTTAATGGGCAATTCCAATCAGTTTATCATTGTTTTTCATGAAGCACTACAAGTTTGCGTGATGAAATTAGCATAACTTTAAATGACCATAGCAACAGAGGACATCAAAGAAAGTGGAATACTAAACTGATGAGTGATTGATTATGACAGTTAAATCGTAGACTGAAAAGTGTGTCAGCTTCTCTAAGACTGATTTTAAATTCAAAATGCAGTTAAATCCCTGCAAACTGAACACTTGAATACCACTCTGATTTTCACTAGTAATCTGGTCCTATTCACGTAGATGGGTGGTTGTTACCTGGGTTCCTAGTGGGGTAGCGAGAAGTCGTGACCAGTGGGGGGGGTTAGTGCAGGTTGTTTGTGAGGATAAATACTCGCCAGCGATTAGACTATCTAGTAGTCGGACCATGTAGTGGATTGGCAGAAGTTGGAATTCATGGACCATTTAGTTGGGAACCTAGTGGCTTAACGGTCTACGAGCTAGCTCACCTTGTAACCGGAAGCTCCTGGCTTCCAACTCCGGTGGGTGTGTGTACTGATGAAGGGTTTCAAACTGGCACACCGGGAACAGCTGTCCGAAACTCCCTGCAGGTTTCTCAATGGCTCTCTAACAGATATCAGCTCATGATGAAATCCTGTAAACCTTCGTATTCCTGCTAACCAACATTTGCGTATTAAAATTTATAGGTAACCATCATAGTTTTTCTTCGAAATCTTTAGTTCTCAAGTGACTTCTGGGAATTCTTCTCGCCACATATATGCATTTAGTGTATAATTTCGGTCCAGTAAACAGGTTTTGCCGAGCATCATAATCAGATCTGTGTAACATACTGTATATGTTGACAAATATAATCTACTGTTTCCATAAGCGGTACATTAGTGAATAGTGATGATACATCCATGGATAACATGCGTTTATATCTCATATTAGTCTCGGATATTTTAGAAATAAAGTCGAAGACATCACTAATTCTATGTTGCACGATTTCTCTGTTCAAAGGACCCAGAATCTTCACTAACCACTTCGCTGTCCCATGAAATGGAGAGTTTTATATATCTAAAACAGGGTGAAGAGGAAGGCCTGGTTTGTGCAATTTGGGTATACTGTAAAAACGTGGAGTATGGGTACCCAAAGTGCACAAACCGGGTCTTCCTCTTCACCCTGTTTTAGGTATATATAACTCTCTATTTCACGGGACAGCGAAGTGGTTAGCGAACAAAAATCGTGCAACATAGAATTAGTGATGTCTTCGATTTTATTTCTAAAATATCCGAGACCACTGTATATATGTATAGTCTGACAGGAGAGTCGATATGTCCGCCTTTCAATAGCATTTCGGTGATAAACTTTACTCCAACCTCTTTCACTTGTTCACATTTGTTCAACGTCAAAAGTTTTACAAGACATTTTTTTTATCAATGGAAATATTATGTCTTTCCGTCTTTCCTTATTATTATTATTATCTGTCAGGATTGTCATTATACAATACGCGGTGGTCGGTGTGTGTTTAATGATTCAAATACTCCGTCGTATCAATCCCCAATTATAACACTCCAATTGACGATATCTCCATCACAGTCAAAATCTGTGCCACCATTACTCAGTTTAGGACAGGTGGAAAATTTATTTCATGAATGGGGTCATGCCTTGCATTCAATGCTGGCGCGTACACGATATCAACATGTTACGGGAACACGGTTAGTCAAAAAGAAAAAAAAACGTTTTGCCTGTATCCATCTGTGTAAATTATTTCTTCTTTTGTTTTTTGATAAATAAAAATATTTCTTTTTATGAAATCTTTCCTGGTTAAAAAAAGACGAATGGGCTGAATTTAAAAAAATATGCAAAATCTACACTGTCAGATGGGCATATTTTCTTTCATGAGTATGTGTGTAACAACAGAAGACAAGGGCGAAGCAACAGATCGTTTTATTATGAAAATCAACACGTATTTATACATATTTCACATACATTATTATAGACAAGCGCGGTCATCTGATTGGTTGTTTCGGGATTCCTTGACAAATAGAGTTCTCTATCTGCGAATCATATTTTGCCACGTTAACTTTGCTGTGATTGGTTGTTGACTCAGCCTTGTTCATATTTTCTCACGGCCCATATTAACGTAGCTTAGTGTCAACCAATCGGCTAGCAGCCTGCTCTCACCACATGTGTATATTTTATCACTGATTAGATGAGTACTGAAAACTGTGAAGTTACTTACTAATTTTTTGTTTTTTAAATATTTCAATGCGGTGGAGTGCTGCAAACCTTTATTAACCTCACACAGAATAGATATATGAATGTGTCACACATGCACCAAATGATACACAACGGACAAACCAGCGAAGCTCGTAAAGTAGTGAAGACCAGGAGTAAGACAAAGCTGTCTAGCTATCACCCACTATGATATTTCTTGATTGTGATAAACTGGATCATTCTGAAGACAGTCGGGAACGAGAATACAGAAACAAGTTGGATCGATGACAAGACCCTAAAAGATCCCGACTTTGTGGACGATTTCTGTCTGATGCTATGCATACTTGAAGATCTACAGGCGAGAACCAACAAGCTGACAGAAGGGATTGGTAGCGAAGACAGGATTTCAAGTGAGCACACAAAGAAAGAAGATGGGAAGTTAAACACTAGTGTTTACAGGAAACAGGTATTTGGGCTTCCGATCATTCCATCCTATGTCAGTAGAAATAGAATTAGTGAAATGTTTAAATGACAGAGCACAAAACTAAGTAGTACCAAGGAAGATCCAAAACAGGAAGTGATACACATAAAAGAAGCCTTGAAACTTAATAATTACCCGGATAAATTAGTCAAGAAATAGGTAGCGAAATGTAAAATTAAAATAAATAATGATAGTAGCGATAATGATAATAATAATAATATTAATGACGACACCAACAATAAGGAATCTAAATCATCAGTAGTAATCCCATACAAGGAAGGAACCCCGGAAACCACCTTACGCAGAATTCTCAAGAATTCTGGCGGGAATAAAACTGGCCGGGATTCAAACCAACCACAAACTCAATTAGAAACAAGCTTCGTCGGTTAAAGGATCAATCCTTGTGGTGAGAGCAGGCCGTGAGAAAATATGAGCAAGGCTGATTTAACAACCAATCACAGCAAAGTTAACGTGGCGAAATATGATTCGCAGATAGAGAACTCTATTTGTCGAGGAATCCCGAAACAACCAATCAGAAGCCTGCGTTTGACTTCCTAACTTCTGATAAACAACCAATCAGATGACTGCGCTGGTCTACTTGCATAAGCTCTAATAATGTATGTGAAATATGTATAAATACGTGTTGATTTTCATAATAAAATGATCTGTTGCCTGGCCCTTGTCTTCTGTTGTTACATTTGGTGTCGCTGCCTACCGACAAATGGAAAGCCTATGCCCTGCTGTTTTTGATGGAGACATATGGATCTTCGGGCAGGACTTCAAGGCTTCTGCGCAGTTGAGTGGCGTTCAAGATCTGTGAGCGATGGAGCTGCTACTTGGGACGCTGCTGGGAGGTCGGGTAAAAGCAGCATATGAAAGTGTGAGACGAAATACTGACGAATGTTCGACAGGGTCAGGCAAACAGTTTCCAAAGTGGGAAGGAGCACATATGGTCACTTCGAGATGGAATTACGCGGACACAATCGCAGTGGCGAACAATGAGAGGCGCGTGAACGTCAGCGAGCTCCAGAAATGGATACAGCGAGACAAGCCAACGATGACGCCTGCACCAAGTAGATCAAGCCGACTTCAGTCGCACGTATTTGACGGGGGGACGAGTGTGGTGAGAGCAGGCCGTGAGAAAATATGAGCAAGGCTGATTTAACAACCAATCACAGCAAAGTTAACGTGGCGAAATATGATTCGCAGATAGAGAACTCTATTTGTCGAGGAATCCCGAAACAACCAATCAGAAGCCTGCGTTTGACTTCCTAACTTCTGATAAACAACCAATCAGATGACTGCGCTGGTCTACTTGCATAAGCTCTAATAATGTATGTGAAATATGTATAAATACGTGTTGATTTTCATAATAAAATGATCTGTTGCCTGGCCCTTGTCTTCTGTTGTTACATCCTGACAGTGGAGCCTTTAAAACAAAACAATTCAGTTTATCTAATACCCTGCCTGACTGCAGTGATTGTCAGGCCAAATCCATAGGTCTGAGTAGTAGAACAGGTGCAGTCAGTCAGACTAACAGAGCATAAAAACCTAGCGGGAAAACCAATCTAGATTGGTTGACCAGAATGAGATAAGAAATCTAGAGAATAGTTCAGTCGTAGATAGCACTCACTACATGCAATTACACACAACCATTCAATATTCGATGGATGGGATAAGATGACAGGTAATTCTAAATCTAATGTCACAGGGTGGAGGGAGGGAGAGATTGATAACAGAAGCCTTGTTTACCGAATCAACTGAGAGACAATACGTGTATAATAGGAATGATTCAACACCTGTCCACCCAGATATCTGGAAAATTCTACTACCACGCCAATGTCGACGACAAATAGGAGTGGCACAGTGGCTAGGACTCTCGCCGACCATGCACATGGTCCGAGGTTCGTTCCCCTGCCGATGCATACCTGATATCCATGGTCGGCCTGAGAAATTTGGGCTACCAATATCCATGCAGAAAATTCCGTATTTGTACCAAAAATACGGTGTGGAATCAAGCTGTAATAAAAAAGTATAAAACTGAGGTTTTGAAGTCGTGTGATTATAATTGATGATATGATTAAGAACAATAAGTGAATTGTGTTCGAAACTGTGTCATGCAGTAAATACTAATACTGTTTCACTCACTGTGTGATACATCTAATAAATAAACTAGGATGGAATTACTTACTACCACAGTGCGCAAGTTTTACACATACACACACATACAGAGAAGATGGAGGTGATGAAGATGACCAACCAATCATCCAACTAACGACAACGACAACAACAACAAACGAAAATCGCTATCGACGGAAGAAATTCGATCGAGGTCACTTGCTTCATTCATCTAGGGAGGCATTATCTCAACTACACGCCCTCCCCATGGATGAAGATGTCGAAACCAGCGAGGATCGGAAAGGCGTAGAAGAAGACTTTCATCACTCTGAAATCAGTTTGGAAATCTGCTGCCTTCGCAACAGGAGAAAACAAGATTCGAATTTTCAACACCTGTGTCAAATCAATATGGTTCGAGAGACGTAACACGTCACGAAGAGTATTTCCAACAGCGTTTTTATATCAACTGCTGTCTTCACTGGTGTCATAATTATGATCAGAGATGGGCAGCACGAAAGAATTAGCACCAAGAAACTCTGGGAACGAACCGATCAAGAGCCTATCACACAAAATGGGAATAGATTGGACACACGCTGAAGAGACCGTTGCGTGACATTGTGCGCCAGACCATCGCTTCAATGGAACCCAAATGGAAAACATCGAGATAGGCATTGGTCCTTGGATGACATGGAATGGAAGAGATCGTCTGAAGAGATGAGAGCCGATGGGCAACTGAACTGTGTAGTCAACTAAAGAAGTACTGCATAAAAAACGTGGAAATGGTTACGCCCTATTGAAGCTCTATGTTCCAGTAGGGTGCAGCAGGTCGGATGTGAGGACAGATACTCGCTGAAGACATTGGCTAGGGTCGCGCTATGCCGTGAATTCGCAGAAGTTAAAATTCGTGGGCCATTAGATCGCGTCACAGTGCCTCAATGGTCTAAGAGTTCGCCTTGTGACCAAAAGGTGCTGGGTTTCAACCGTGCTGGTGTATGCGTACTGATAAAGAGTCCCAAACTAGGTGGACGAAACAGCTGTCCAGTTCTCCCAGGTTTTCCAGTGATTCGCTCCAGTGATGTCAGCTCACGATGTAATCCTGTAACCAATCAACCAAATCCCTACAAACCAACACTTGAATAAATAATAATGCTGATACAGTGCTCTCACACTATCCTCAATCGACTTCATTATTGTATTTTTGATTTGCAAGAATTTGATTGATTTCACAGCAGATTTTGCTACCAGCAGAGAATTCATGCACAGCAATATCGAATATCTTATTGGAGAAAAAGAGAGAGAAAGGCATCATCCTAGTGTATAGAGCTATCCATTACACTGAGGTAAAACTAACTGTTAGGCTTCTATTCCCTGTGTGTGTGTGTGAATTAACCCTTTATCTCATAAATTGTCTACTTTATGACAGCAGATCTCTATTCTTTATTGATCTATATTATTACTATTATTTATTATTGTCGTTTTAAAGGTGCAGCACTGATTTAGCTGAAATCCCATCAACACTATTTGAGCATTTTGCATTAGACTCACGTGTAACACTGGAATATGCTAGACATTGGAGAACAGGACGTAGACCGGATCCTACTGAAATGAAAATATTAGAACAATTATTTATTGCTCGTGGACTTGGTCAAAGTGTAGAAGTCAGTCAACAGGTAGGCATTTCGTCATTATCTGATAAAAAGAAGAAACAAGAGAAATGCAACATAAAATTCAGTTCATTATTATTATTATTATACAATTTCAACTAATGGCGGTCGCCTTAACTTATCAAATTAATTAATAAGTTTATAGATTTCAAGAGTATGAGTATGTGTACGTCAGTGGCACAGCGGCTAGGACTCTCGTCGACCATGCACGTGGCCCGGGGTTCGATTCCCTGTCGACACACACTCGATATCAATGGTCGGCCTGCAAAATCTGGGCTACCGATATCACATGCTGAAAATTCCATACTTGTACCAAAAATACGGTGTGAAGTCAAGCTATAATCAGAAAAAAAAAGTTTAAGTTTTTACTATTCATAGAACCATTAAACAGAATAGTAAATCAGCTCTCTATATTTATGATTCACGTCTGTTGTGTGAGAGTTGTTAGTGATACATCCGTACTCTTGGTAAGTGAAATATAATGGAATGTTAATGTTAAGTTTTCATGCTATATTATGCAATTTCAAGATGTTGTTAATTAGCGTAAGTACACAGATCAGAGTCTGTCCGTTTCTGCCTCTCCTCCCCCCCCTCTCTCTCTATCTATCTTTCTGCTTACTTCATTCTGAGCAGCAACTGGACGGCATCATCAGCCTTAATGTAATGAGTGTGATTCATAAGTATAGGAACTCAACGATACCATATTTGGCCCGTGTTCTAAGTGACAGAGACAATGTTAGGCGGGAAACCTATGACTTGCTTTGTTGTTAATAACATAATTTTGGCCCTTGTTATTTCCCCCTTACACTCTCTTATTTGTACTCTATAGTGAACAACCTTCTTAAACATACTTAGCTGCTTAAAATCATTATCATTGGCTTACATTTTTATTCTTTATTCTATTCCTTCTTTATACATCTACTGGGTCCGACTGTATTATCACTATGATTATTAAAAATTGTCCCGTCATTAACCATCATGTAACATTAGTTTTGTGGTTGTTCTTTGTTCGGCACTATTTAACTGACAATCTTGTTTGTTATTGCCACTATCCACATCTTAAAAAATTTCGTATTATGCATGATTCCTCACACTACCACTACAAACAACCGCATTAGTGCTGACAATAAAAAAAAACACAACCTGAAATGTTTATCTTATGATTGCTTAGTGTTGTTCAATCAAATTAACTGATCATCTTAGCTATAAACATTTTTTAAGAACATCTCATAATTTCCCGTATGATTATAGCTGTTACTGTTCACCACGCATACACATATCGTAGCTTCCACTAACCAATACTGAAATATTTTTTCATTATTTATGTTTATCTTCCTTTTTACTTGGTATTTTTATTGCATTTTTTTGTTATTTCTGTGTTTCTTTTTGGTTTTTTGTTGTTATTGTCTTTTTTTTGTTTTTTTTAAATTTTTTTTTTATAATACTCCTTTTAAATGTATGATGAAATTAGATGCAATATTGTAGATATGTGCTGAAAATTCCACACTGTACCACAAGTACTGTTTCTGGAATAAAGCGAAAGTGTTATTGTTATTGTTATAATCTAAAACATGAAAGAAAGCAGAATTCGAATTATTGATATATTGGTATAAAACTTCGGCACTGTGGTAGAGCATAACTCCATTATGGATAAGATTTTATTTTGAAAAATCACACACTGTGTTGTACATTAATATTAGTTAATGAACACCTTTCGAGCACAAACTATTACTGCTCATAATTATATCAAGTCACTCACTCATACAACTTTCTTGCTTCATTTATATACATTAGTGGAATTGATGATTAGACATTTGAATAAAACTCAATATAGGATAATGTACATTCAGAAATAATAAGACGAGTGTTATTCATCAAATACAATCAGATGGGAAATAAATAAGACGAGTTTTTATAGTCATAATAGGTAACTTGTTAGAATGTTGTGATGTGTTTGAAGTGAAATAGAATTTTGAGATTATTTATTATCCTCCTCTGATTTTTTAAATTTTTTTTAAATTTTTTGATTACAGCTTGATTCCACATTATTTTCGGTACAAGTATGGAATTTTCAGGATGTGATATCGGTAGCCCAAATTTCGCAGGCTGACCATAGATATCAGGTGTTTGTCGGCAGGGATTCGAACCTCTTACCATGTTCGTGGTTGGCGAGAGTCCTAACCGATGTGCCACCGACGCACTGACTGGTGGTAATAATATCGTCCATATTTCTGATATTTGCGTTGAGTCATTTCTGTTGCATGTGTTGGGCGTAGACATTTCAGTGGACCAGAATTCAGTAATCAATCTCTCTCCACCTACCTAGATTACTTCTTAGAATCTTAACCCTCTCCCACCATGCTATTGTGTAGTTGTGTGTTAATGCATGCGCTGCAATGTAGTACTGAGCTTTTTTCTAAATTGATTGTCTTTTCGGGGTCAACCATTCTTACTTTAGCTAAATTCTTATTTTCCGACTGGCCCTATTCAGGTAGGTGGTTACCTGGGTTCCACTTGGAAGTCGTGACAAGCAGAGTGCAGCAGGTCGGGTGTGAGGACAAATACTCTCCGAAGACATTGGCTAGTGGTTGCGCTATATCGTAAATTGGCAGAAGTTAGAATTCATGGGCTGGCCATTGGATCGGGTCCCAGTGGCTTAATGGTCTACCAGCTAGCTCACCTTGTGACCAGAAGCTCCTGGGTTCGAACCGTGGTGGTGGGTGCGTACTGATGAAGAGTCCCGAACTAGGTGGATGAAACAGCTGACCAGTATTCCCAGGTTTCTCAGTGGTTCTCTAACTGATGTCAGCTCATGATGAAATCCTGTAACCAATCAACCAAATCCCTACAAACCAACACTTGAATAATCTGACTACCCCCTACCTACTAGTTTGACCTATGTGGTTGACATAACTCACAGTCATTGCAGGGTATTTTGTAAATTATATTATTTTGTCTAATTGGGTCCACTGGGTCTTTCAGCCTACAGAGCTTGTCTCTGAATGAGTTTGTAAGTTTGAATCCCACCCTAATTCTTGCTTTATTAAGAGTCCTACTTAGGGTCTCAGATATCCCCTCCTTATATGGTATATCAGTAGATGACTTTTATTCTCTCTTATTTATGTTATCACTACTTGTTTCACAAATATTTTTGTTTTTCTTTTGGCCTTTTTCGATCTTCCTAATCAATTTTATAGGATAGAATTCGAATTATGTTCTCTTCCTACTTTGGTATTCGCTTCACGTGATTTATTGTTCATCCGTATGGAAAGTATAAATGTAGCTGACTTTTTTTTTTTAAAGTGATGATTAGTTTACAAAAATTATGGATTGTAGACATTAAATATGAATGCGACGTAGTCATATGATATGCATATGGAATATATGTGTATATCACTGTAACAGTTCATGAAATGTATTTTTGGAGGATTTCATCATGAGCTGACATCAGTTAGAGAACCACTGAGAAACCTGGGAATACTGGTCAGCTGTTTCGTCCACCTAGTTCGGGACTCTTCATCAGTACGCACCCACCACCACGGTTCGAACCCAGGAGCTTCTGGTCACAAGGTGAGCTAGCTGGTAGACCATTAAGCCACTGGGACCCGATCCAATGGCCAACCCATGAATTCTAACTTCTGTCAATTCACGACATAGCGGAACCATTTCGCAATGTCTTCTTGAAGGAGCTACTGCCTCATCTTCAACCTGTTGAAGAGTCCCAAACTAGAAGGAAACAAGTTTCCGGTACACTCCCAGGTTTTCCAGTGGTTTTTTAACTGATATCAACTCATGATGAAATCCTGCATGCAATCAAATACAAAATCCCAACAAAACCAATACTTGAAAATGTGTTTCTTGTCATTGAGTAGCAGTACTGACTGATATACTTATTTGTTCAAATAAAGTTTCTCCTCAAGAGGTTTTTTTTCGTAGGGATTTCATTTCTTTTTTCTTTCAAGTTTGATCACTGATTGACGGTGTCAGTTAGAGAACCACTGAGAACTAAAACTGGAGTTCTAGTTTGCTGCGACTCATCGACACTACTTATCCGCTCCGTCCTCCTGTATGGTTGTGAGACCTGGCCACTGAGAGTGGAAGACATGAAAAGACTAGCTGTCTTTGATCATAGGTGCCTGCGTTCTATTTCCCGTGTAAAGTGGCATAATAAGGTGAGCAACATGGAGGTTAGGCATCGAGTTCTAGGTAAACAGGGGAAATCAATCGACGAAGTCGTGAAGTTACAAAGACTGAGATGGTTAGGACATGTGTTACGTATGCCAAGCCATCGTCTCCCTCGACGAGCTATGTTAGCGGATATAGGGTCAGACTGGAAAAAAAGCTAGCGGCGGTCAAACAAAAACTTGTCACCAGTCAATGAAATCCACAACAGTTGGTCTAAGCCACGTAGGAAGGTGTAGACTTGCAGGTTGGGGTCCTCGGGACGGTAAAAATCTATGTTTGGAAACAATTGGTGAAATGGCTCAAAATCGTTCTCAGTGGCGCAGATGCATCCACTCCTTGTGACTTATGATCTTCAATGAAACTGTTTTGTATTTCTTTATTACTCCTTTGTCTCACACCTCTGCTCACTGTTTCTATTATGCTTTTCTTGTACTTTCTTCTTTTGCTTCGCGTGCTACACGGAGTGTGGCGACTTGAACTTCCGCACATTTGTGCAAAGTTCTATGTCGAAAACAGACAGACAGACAGACTTATCAACTGGATGTCGAACCCAGCAACTTTCGGTTACAAGGCTAGCTAGTTCGTATACCATTTAGTCACTGGGACCCACCATTTCTAACCTCGATTAATTTGCCTTTTATAGCAATGAGACTGTGCAATCGGATTTATATATGTTTTCCAAAACATGTATGGTCGTATGTTATTGTGTAGTAAAAGGCTGGTGACATAAGCCATCTAATTACTCAAAAGTCGTTTCTAGAATAAAATTAATTGCGCAGCACTCATTTATACAACAGAAAAAAGGTTTTAAAATTTGACCAGGGGGAAAATTGTTATTCTATGAGAAGTAAAGTAGTTGAGTGTCCAGTGGACAAGTGTGAAGTGGGTGAGAAACTGTACAAAAGAAACATGTAAGCGTGATAACAGTCAAATAATTATTAAAAATAAGAGCGAACGGCTTAGGTACTAGATAAAAGACTACACAAACAGTTTCTGTATACAGAGTTCGAAGTTATGCTAACGAATCACCAGTGCCTCCACTATACATAATGGCCGAAAGCGACTACCCCTTATGTCGTGCGGTTCCACCTTTTAGATAATCTTAGAGAACACTTCTGATGGAGCTGCATGGCCTGAGTTCACCAGATGTTCGAGAATTGAACTAGTAATAATTGTCTTGCATTATTCTCTTGCTTACCATGTAGGGTGATGTTCTAAAGGGAATTTTGAAAGTGTGTGGTTTGTGTGACCAAGTGAATTTATTAACACACATTAAAGTGGTCTAAGGCGGCAGCTTCTCATTCATACATCCATTGGTCATATTTCCAAATGTTGAAATTGACCCAAAGCTCAGCGAAAAATAAAGCTTTTCTCAGCGATTTGGTTAAGCGGTTTTTCAGAATCTCAGCTGTGATATCACCCGCAAAATTCAACATTCACATAAACAGTCGCAGTTTCTTCAGTGACCAGGCACAACCTATGAGGATTATTTCGTCGATAGAGAAAATTTGTCTTTTACTTTCTTCATAAGCCAATGCCCATTTCCGGTCTTAAGTTGATTTGTACATCCCGTTAATTGTTACATCGAACCGAACTGATGAGTCTGTCGTGAAATGCCCACTTGTAGTACTGCTGCTTTGACCACACCATCTGACTAAATAAAATTTGTTCAAAGGTGAAGTTGTTCAATTTGTGAGCTCCAATAACACACGAAAGAAATGAAAAAAACACACCAGGCAACTGCAATGAACGCAATATGTGGGAAGAGGGCAGTGATGGTTAAGTGCGTCTTGGAGTTCATAAGGAGCGGATGCATCTTGTGATTTTGTGAACCACTTTCAGTCATACTGTAACCGCAGAAGGCAAGACATGGAAGCCAGCGTATATTTTCAAGTGATCAAACATATATATATATATAAGTATTAATGCAGTATTAAACTGTGGGAATGTGTGTCGGTGGCAAAGCGGTTGCCGACCATGCACATGGTCCGCGGTTCGATCCCAGGCCACCGACTCATTCCTTTACCTCGCTAAGCCAGAAATAATTCTGGTACAGAGGAAAGGTTTGGCATGAGGCTAGCAACCCCATCCTGTAAAATTAAACACTGTTACAGAAACTTCAAGCCACTAGCTTGAGGCCCTATATTCTACTGGGAACGTGAATGAAAAAAAACTGGGAATATGTGAGAATAATATTCCGTTGGAACACATTGTCTGTATCACGACCCTGGCCAGTCTACACCCGCCTACATCACTGGTTCATATCATAAGTAGAGAAAAAGAAAGCAGATATACGCTACTAACATTTAGACAAAGATAATACAATTAATTCCACATTAGTTGGTTTATTAGATATATCACACAGTCAGTGAAACAGTATCATTTACTGGATGACACAGTTTCGAATAAAATTTATTGTTCATAATCATTTCATCAAATATAATCATACAACTTCGAAACTTGAGTTTTGTAGTTTTCTTTGTCCACTACTATTTGTCGTCGTAAGCGTGGTAGTAGAATTTTCCAGATGTCGACCTGGACAGGTGTTGAATCATTCCTATTATACACGTATTGTCTCTCAGATGATTCGGTAAACAAGGCTTCTGTTATCAATCTCTCCCTCCCTCCACCCTGTGACATTAGATTTAGAAACACTGTCATCTTATCCCATCCATCGAATATTGAATGGTTGTGTGTAATTGCATGTAGTGAGTGCTATCTACGACTGAACTATTCTCTAGATTTCTTATCTCATTCGGGTCAACCAATCTAGATTGGTTTTCCCGCTAGGTTTTTATGCTCTGTTAGTCTGATTGACTGCACCTGTTCTACTAGTCAGACCTATGGATTTGGCCTGACAATCACTGCAGTCAGGCAGGGTATTAGATAAACTGAATTGTTTTGTTTTAAAGGCTCCACTGTCAGGATTGATCCTCTAACCGATAAAGCTAGTTTCTAATTGAGTTTGTGGTTGGTTTGAATCCCGGCCAGTTTTATTCCCGCCAGAATTCTTGAGAATTCTGTGTAAGGTGTCCGAGGTTCCTTCCTTGTATGGAATTACTATTGATAATTTAGATTCCTTATTGTGGGTGTTGTCATTATCCTGCACATGTTTGACATGTATGTCACCATTGATAATATTGTTATTATTATCACTATCACTACTGTTGTTATTTTCACTTTTTTATTTTTACATCTACGACATAATTTGTGATTAATTTATCAGGGTATTTACTAATTTTCGAAGATTCTCTTATATGCCTCTCTTCCTGTCTTAGATTTTCCTTCGTACTACTTAGTTTTTGTGCTCTATTATTTAAATATTTCACCAGGCTTTGTTTATCGAATCAACTGATAGGGAATACGTATAATAGGAATGATTCAACACCTGTCCAGTCGGATATCTGAAAAGTTCTACTACCTCAACGATGACAAATAGGAGAGATTTATCAGCTGTATTTATATCACGCGAAGTGTAAGTCCTTACATAAGTGTGTGTGTATTACACCCTTGTGGGGACCAGTATTTACATAATGTTATATTTTCCATGCGTAAGTAGAGATTGGTAATACTTCTTTCATTTACACAATTCTTTCAGGCTACTTATGCTATTCTGGATCAGAGTTTACATTCAGGTCCACCTGAAGATATTCTACTACCATGTGCAAGATTAACTCAAGATTCAATGGATGGTTTATGGCCTGCATCTACTCAACTACTTTCAGATATTCAATGCAAAGTTGGCTTATCCGATTGGTTGAATTGTTCACCGGGACATATATGCGCATGGCCTCATCGTTTTACTCATTTAGTCAATTATGGTGGACGTTATTATGCTTATTTAATGGCAAGAGCTGGAGCTGATTTAATCTGGAGACGTTATTTTTCTAAAGATCCCTGGAATTCTTCCAGTGGACAGGTAAATTTATGCAACGTTACTATTCGGATTGTACTGAGCTAGTGATTTAAGATTTTCACTGTGAAAATATTCCTTATTGTCAATATATATATATATATATATATATATATATATATATATATATATATAGTCTTAATGAATTTATATGTGCCTTAGCTAGGCTTAGCTCTGTGTGTGTGTGTGTGTGTGTGTGGAGAGAGAGAGGGTACTGCTTCGATTGCATTTGGATGTTGATTGACAGGTGGCCAGATAATAAACAAACTGGTAAATCTTATTTGTATTTGAGATGTTTAGGCAGGAGATGGTTAATGCCCCATTTTCATCGTACTAGTATTTTAATCCTTGTACGTTTTTCTGAGTAGGTTAAAACTTATTTCATGCTGATCTTTTGTTATTCCCACTCGCTTTTGTTACTATTATTGTTATATGATATGACAGTGTCAGCATTGATAATTCCAAGATTTTCATCTATCAAAGATTAATGACAAGCGGAAAATTAACAGTTGCAGAGAAGAGACTGTTTTTTTTGGCAACGAATTCATTTTCTTAGATGTACAATCCTATTTATAATATACGATTGTTTTTCACGATAGTGGGTGGTAAAAACACGGATGGGTTGTTATAAGATCAGCAACAGGATGATGACATCTCTGGCAATGAGCGAACTAACCCAGCAGGAACCGTTTGTGCAACAAATATATGCGGGGAGAAATGGAGGTGGATTGACCGTACTCTGGGAAAACAAACCATCAAGTGAGTGACAACACACACACCAAGCCATTATTACTCAAGTGGAACTTGAATGGGAAGCGGGGGGGTTGGTCGTCAGTGTGAGGTTGACATGGAGGTGGACGAGGAGGTGATGCGAAGGGGGAGATGAAAGCATATGGGCAGGCGTGGAGCCAGGTGAAAACGTTGACAGAGAACCGAACGCAATGGAGACGTCAGGCTGAAGTCCTATGTTCCTTTGGGGGAGGAACTAAAGGAAACAACAATAATAATATAATAACACTAGTTGTCATAACCACACTTGTTAAAATTAATCAAAATATAAGGGTGTTAGAGTTACGTAGTAAGATAAACAACTGAACGAATGAGTTGTAAGCCAAGATGCATATAGAAATGAAGGCAAAACTGATGTGTGATTCAAGAGTAATGAAGAGTTGAGAAACACAGACAGACAAAGAAAAACCGAAACGGTACAAAACAAGGCAAGCTTGTTCCAGTGAGTAGTAGAAGTGTTTGAATAATTTTTTCTCTTGCATGCATATAGCTGCAACTTTTCAATCTGAATTGACCAGAGCTTCAGTAATATAGAGAGGATGAAAGCGTTTTGACTTTGGCAGGGGATTCTTCACTTTGTGGGATTATTTTGAAGGCGAAGTTTATTGGGATGGAATGATCAGTGTTGACAAAGTGTTCCACTCCTGTTATGCATTGATTGGTCAACACATTTATCAACAAGAAGACAATTGCAGCGAAGAAAATTTTCTTTTCGACGAAGTCATCATCTAGGCTGTATTTATGTATATTTATGTGTATTTATGTCAAATGGATGGGAAAGTTCCAGAATAATATCCGGTCAAGGGGCAAATTAATAAAAATTAAAATTAGGAATTAGAAGGCCATAATAAACAGGGGAATAGATAAAACAAGCAAAGTAGCATCATAATAACTAAGAAGGTTGACATTGTGCAATTAGGGGTTAGAAATGTAGAAATAACAAAATGGACAGGATGTTTGGATAAAAACTAATGTGATGAATAATTGTTTATGCATTCAGGGATTAAATATGTAGAAATAGTAAAATGACAAAATAAACACTACGTTCGGGTATGAAAATATGGTAGTGTAAACAGGGATTAAGAAAATCTTGAAATAACATGAATAAACAGGAAGTTTAGATAAGAAAGGCGATGGGATGGTGATTACTAAAAATTACCTGTTTATGATGGCCATGGCAAGGACAGGGGTTGGACGTATTTCTTTAGTATACAAAGCGTGGGTTTGAGCTTTTGTATAGCTAGCGCCTCGGCTATGCCTAGATGTCTTGATTTTACTCCCTTTGATGGGTTTGATCGAATCTTGTAAATGATTTTGAAGGATTTTTCGAAAGGTGGTGAATGTTCTCAGTTGACCAGATGTTCTGTCACTGAACTGTATACACTCTTTTGGTCTCCTTTTAATAACCAGGCTGGGTAGTGTTTACGAGCACGTTTTTCAAGTCGGCGCATGGTACGGCCAACGAACTCAGCTCCACAAGAGCAAGTAAACTGGTATATGCACGTTGAGATGGCCCAATGCGACAGCTCGTCTTTCGCGTTCTGGCTGAACAGTTTCTTGCAGGAAAACGTCAGTCGTCGGCTAGCGGTGAAGTATGTTTTCCTCAGTGATTTTGCGAGGCGTTTGCGAAGGATTTCTGCTTCAGTATCACCTTTGAATTCTAGATTAAGCAGAAGCATTTTCTTTGGAACGGATTGGACTTGTTCGGAAGTCTTCTTAGGTTTGAGATTCTTGTCTATGAACCAGGGCAGGAAACCGTTTTCCATCAGGGTTTTTTCGAAGATTATGCAGTTCTTCTTCAACCACTTCTTCCGAATCCTCGAGGAAAGAGCGTATATCAGGTTCCTCTTTCTGCTCAGGGGTAGGAAGCTTTGAAAGTTGATGAATTGTCCATTCCATGTAGGCTTTTTGTATATGGACCTTTTCAGGGAGTTGTCGGCGTTTCTTGTCAGATGAATGTCGAGGAAGTGGAACATTCCGTCGGATTCAGGACGTTACGGAGACTGGGTTTTTTTGTTGATATAATCTAGGCAGCAATTTAAAACGGTTGATTTGAAAAGTTCCGCATTCTCATATGAGATTGGGACAAGATCTTTCGTCTGGTCGATTAAATTCTCAAATTGCACTTTCGTGTTGAGTTCATTCACTTTTGATGTCGCATCACAAAACTTAGTCCCAAGTGCTAAGTTTTGCATTTGAATTGGAGATAGTTGATCAACAGAATAATTGTATGGAGGATTTAATCATGAGCTGACATCAGTTAGAGAACCACTGGAAAACCTGGGAGTACTGGACAGCTGTTTCGTCCTAGTTTGGGACTCCTCAGCAGTACGCACCCACCGGGGTTCGAACCCAGGACCTTCTGGTTACAAGGCGAGCTCGTAGACCATTGAGCCACTGGGACCCGATCCAATGGTTCTTGAATTCTAACTTCTGCCAATTCACGACATAGCGCGGCCACTTCGCAATGTCTTCTTCGATGAGTTACTGCCTCATCCTCGACCTGCTGTACCCTACTGGTCACGGCTTCCCACTAGAACCCCAGGTTAACTGCCTGAATAGGGCCAGTCGCTAGTGAGCATCAGATTAATTTTCAAATGTTGGTTTTGTAGGGATTTGGTTTGATTGTATGGAGGATTTAATCATGAGCTGACATCAGTTAGAGAACCACTGGAAAACCTGGGAGTACTGGACAGCTGTTTCGTCCTAGTTTGGGACTCCTCAGCAGTACGCACCCACCGGGGTTCGAACCCAGGACCTTCTGGTTACAAGGCGAGCTCGTAGACCATTGAGCCACTGGGACCCGATCCAATGGTTCTTGAATTCTAACTTCTGCCAATTCACGACATAGCGCGGCCACTTCGCAATGTCTTCTTCGATGAGTTACTGCCTCATCCTCGACCTGCTGTACCCTACTGGTCACGGCTTCCCACTAGAACCCCAGGTTAACTGCCTGAATAGGGCCAGTCGCTAGTGAGCATCAGATTAATTTTCAAATGTTGGTTTTGTAGGGATTTGGTTTGATTGTATGGAGGATTTAATCATGAGCTGACATCAGTTAGAGAACCACTGGAAAACCTGGGAGTACTGGACAGCTGTTTCGTCCTAGTTTGGGACTCCTCAGCAGTACGCACCCACCGGGGTTCGAACCCAGGACCTTCTGGTTACAAGGCGAGCTCGTAGACCATTGAGCCACTGGGACCCGATCCAATGGTTCTTGAATTCTAACTTCTGCCAATTCACGACATAGCGCGGCCACTTCGCAATGTCTTCTTCGATGAGTTACTGCCTCATCCTCGACCTGCTGTACCCTACTGGTCACGGCTTCCCACTAGAACCCCAGGTTAACTGCCTGAATAGGGCCAGTCGCTAGTGAGCATCAGATTAATTTTCAAATGTTGGTTTTGTAGGGATTTGGTTTGATTGTATGGAGGATTTAATCATGAGCTGACATCAGTTAGAGAACCACTGGAAAACCTGGGAGTACTGGACAGCTGTTTCGTCCTAGTTTGGGACTCCTCAGCAGTACGCACCCACCGGGGTTCGAACCCAGGACCTTCTGGTTACAAGGCGAGCTCGTAGACCATTGAGCCACTGGGACCCGATCCAATGGTTCTTGAATTCTAACTTCTGCCAATTCACGACATAGCGCGGCCACTTCGCAATGTCTTCTTCGATGAGTTACTGCCTCATCCTCGACCTGCTGTACCCTACTGGTCACGGCTTCCCACTAGAACCCCAGGTTAACTGCCTGAATAGGGCCAGTCGCTAGTGAGCATCAGATTAATTTTCAAATGTTGGTTTTGTAGGGATTTGGTTTGATTGTATGGAGGATTTAATCATGAGCTGACATCAGTTAGAGAACCACTGGAAAACCTGGGAGTACTGGACAGCTGTTTCGTCCTAGTTTGGGACTCCTCAGCAGTACGCACCCACCGGGGTTCGAACCCAGGACCTTCTGGTTACAAGGCGAGCTCGTAGACCATTGAGCCACTGGGACCCGATCCAATGGTTCTTGAATTCTAACTTCTGCCAATTCACGACATAGCGCGGCCACTTCGCAATGTCTTCTTCGATGAGTTACTGCCTCATCCTCGACCTGCTGTACCCTACTGGTCACGGCTTCCCACTAGAACCCCAGGTTAACTGCCTGAATAGGGCCAGTCGCTAGTGAGCATCAGATTAATTTTCAAATGTTGGTTTTGTAGGGATTTGGTTTGATTGTATGGAGGATTTAATCATGAGCTGACATCAGTTAGAGAACCACTGGAAAACCTGGGAGTACTGGACAGCTGTTTCGTCCTAGTTTGGGACTCCTCAGCAGTACGCACCCACCGGGGTTCGAACCCAGGACCTTCTGGTTACAAGGCGAGCTCGTAGACCATTGAGCCACTGGGACCTGATCCAATGGTTCTTGAATTCTAACTTCTGCCAATTCACGACATAGCGCGGCCACTTCGCAATGTCTTCTTCGAAGTGGCCGCGCTATGTCGTGAATTGGCAGAAGTTAGAATTCAAGAACCATTGGATCAGGTCCCAGTGGCTCAATGGTCTACGAGCTCGCCTTGTAACCAGAAGGTCCTGGGTTCGAACCCCGGTGGGTGCGTACTGCTGAGGAGTCCCAAACTAGGACGAAACAGCTGTCCAGTACTCCCAGGTTTTCCAGTGGTTCTCTAACTGATGTCAGCTCATGATTAAATCCTCCATACAATCAAACCAAATCCCTACAAAACCAACATTTGAAGAATAATTGTACACGTATTTTTCTGGACAAGTAGCAAAGATGGTTTCTTTTGTAACGGACTTTAGGCTTTGGTTTAGTTTCATTATAACATCATCTGTTCTTTTCTTTGTAACCGTATCGGAGTAGTTTTCGAATGCTGTTCTCTCGTCTTCAGATAACTCATAGGGAACATTTATCAACACTATGATTATGAGAACTCATCACTTCGGTTACTATTCTCTTTCGTGAAAAAGAATACAATTGTACAGCTAGCTAAAGGGAAGTATGAATTCGTCGCTGAAAACAGCCTCTCCTCTGAACTGCTTGTTTTGTTCTTCTCATTAATGCCTGGATTAGGGATTGTTCATGAATACAACACAGGTTAGTTAATGGTTGTCAAAATGTGTCTCTCTCTCTGTCTTTCTCTCCTTTGCTTCATTTTTAGGTTTATGTTGAAAAATTACTATCTCGTGGAGGTGAATATCCTGCAGCTAATATGCTCTCCGATTTACTTGCACTGAACCAATCTGATTCCAGTCGACATCACAGTGACGTCAATAGTGCTACTACTAATACTAATGATAATAATCATCTTGTCTTATCGCCTGTCAAATTAGCTGAAGGTCTAACAGATCAAATAGAAGAAATTGAGACAACTTCAGCCTCTGTACTGAATCGTATTCAATCGCCCAGTTTATTTAGACCAGAGATATACAGTTGATCAGAAGTTAGAAACCGTCAACTAGTCTGTTGGTTTTTGTAAATAGTCGTCAACTAAATTATTTTTTATATGATCGGTTATACGTATACAGACAAACGTAATAATCTTAGCATGTTCACTTCTACAATGAACTGAAATAAAAGTAGAAACTGATTGATTATTGAGTGTTCTATACAACTTCAGCCTTAACCTAATTTCTTTATATACACACGATTGCCGATACACTACTTCAAAATGATATTTAGGTTCAAATACTACTAACTTCAATGAATGTTGTTGAAAGTCTTGATTCCCTGAAATTCTCGGATGAGTAGCACTTGCCTGAAAAGTGACGTGTTTATGCTATAACAGTAAAGTAAGAACTAAGTTGATGATAAGGAATGTAGCTACGCTAAAATGTTTCCGTCAAATAAACATCTTTACTGGCCTCATCATTTGCCTAGGTGGTCCGTGACCGACAGTAAGATTTCTCAATGAATGGAGGAACTCTAAAGATTCAATTCAATGTCTAAAATTCTGTGTATGATCAACCTTAAAAAAGGTTTTCTTTGGGTTCTCTAATCATTCAACACTAATTATCCTGCTGATGTTGATGGTGGTTTAAGCATACTATCTCGTTCAGGGCAGTTACAGCAGAAACAAACAATCTATAAAGCTAACTTTGTGTGTCTTAAAGAAATTGTTATGTTATGTTATAGTGAGGGGACAAGCAGATGATACACCAATCAACTTTGTACTGTAGTAGACGGTTATTGTCTTTGGTCAGTATGATTTCCTCTTCTACCTTTTTCACGTAAATGCAGTCAAGTCTCCTTTCGTAACATACACACGAGTCATTCGAGTTGATAAAGCCAACTAGAAAGCTTTAGAACCTTTTCGAATGATAGGTGGTAGTCGTGTTTGTTGGATAAAAGCTGGTGTATTTATCTAAGCGCACAGTAACAGTGATACTCATTTTGAAGAAGATTCATGCCACATGCAGCCTGTCGCAGATACAATCGTGAACACATTTGATAGTATGCATCCGAAGGTTAATGTATGTCAATGAATTTCTGTAGTTATATGGACTGACCGATGTAAGGCGACTCATCATTGGCACAACTTCTAACTACCTGCAACAGGTCCGCTTTGTTTAATATACTCAAAACTATAATCAATATGATTTTATTTTGATAAATCACACAGTGTTATACAGTAATGTTAACTGATGACGTTTCAAGCATTCTAATACTGGATATTTAGACCTCTTTAATTCATCGCATCCGTTCGATGTCTGTAAAGGCTGGTTTAGTTAAATGTCCCACAAACCGAGCAGTAGCACTAAGTAGCACAAAAAAGACCTAAACAATGAACTAAAACAGATAGAAGAGGCGTTTGTGCTAAATAACTGACTATCCTATAAAATTCAGTAGGAATATACAAAGAGGTCAAAAGCAAAATAAAAATAGTTGTGAAACTAATAGTGATAACATAAATAAGAGAGAATATACGTCATCCCCTGCTTTACCATATAAGGAGGGGATATCTGAGACCCTACATAGGATTCTTAATAAAGCAGGAATTAGGGTAGTGGCATTCAAACCTCCAAACTCATTCAGAGACAAGCTGTGTAGATTAAAATACCCGGTGAACCCAATTAAACAAAATAATATAATTTGCAAAATATCTTGCAATGACTGTGAGGTCAACTACATAGGTCAAACTAGTAGATCGGGGGTAGTGAGATTGTCGGGACATTTCGCTAAGGTAAGAATAGTTGACTCCGAGAAGATAAGTAATTTAGAAAAAAGCTTAGCAGTTGCACTGCATGCATGCATTAACACTCTACCACACAATAGGGTGGGAGAGGGTTAAGATTCTAAGAAGTAATCTAGATAGGTGGAGAGACATTGATTACTGAATCCTGGTTCATTCAGTCTAAACTTTGCTCTGATCTGATGCGTAGTGAAGGCATCCTTTGTGCTTTTGTCCTTCAGTTTCCAAATGTTGAACTAGGTGAGGTGGTGGTCTGAATCCGCATCTCCTCCTCTTCTCGACTTTGTGTTCAGCAGGCAGACTGCCTCTACGCTTCCTTGAGCAATAATGATGTGGAATTTATCTGGTTTGTGGTGTGTCCATCAGGCGAAATCCGTGTTGTTGACTTTGTGTATATCCTTGTGCTTGTACACACTACCTCCAATCAGCAAATTATTGAAAGCGCAGAAGTCTGTGAGTGATTCTCCGTTCTCATTCACTTCACCAAGCGAGAGCATCTCGATTGATGATGACTTCTCCTCCTGTATTGTCTGCTCCCAGTTCGGAAGGCATTCACTCTCACCCACGAGGATTTTGATGTCACCACACGGGGTTTTTCAATTATTGTGGATAGTTGTCTATAAGAGTTTTCCTTCTTCTCTTGTACCACGTCTTTGGTAGCATTGTGCGTAGTACTGGATAGTTGTAACCTTCCTTCCCTCCTTCCTCTGTTTTGAGTTGAATCTTGTTGTCATAATCATGCATGTGGAGGTTGGTTCCTACTGCATTAGGGCTTTGGATGTCACTGGTGACATCATGATTGCCACTCACTGCCTCAGTGTGTTCTTTGTTGTCTGCTAGTGTGACTGCAGCTGGGGAGCCAGCTACACTGGGTGTAAAATTAGGCAGGTTCATCATCGTATTCCTCAACATCATCCAGTATGGTTAAGCAAGGGACAAACAACATCTGTTCATAGCTCTACTTTAGCACACTTGTAGATAATGAGCATAAGGTTGACGTTATTAATACAGCATTAAAAATTATACATCGAATTCCTACTAATCTTCATTTTGCTTGACGAGTTCATCTTCTGTATACAGCTGAAGCAATAGAAAGCCAACTGAACAGGCCAAACCTGTGTGTTGAGAAGAAATTTGTACAGCCACTTTTCTTGCCTTGGACATCATCGTTAGATGAATTTGTAAACTGGACTACTTCGCTGCCCCCTTCCCCTAAACTTTTAAAAGTTACAATTGTCCAATAATCTCCGTCTTCTAATAATGCTTTCAAAATTATAATAGAGACTATCTGTTTCAAATTATTATTGTATCATTTTGTCTGACTACTTCATCTTTAATTACATGTTATTCTTGTCAAATTATTTTATTCTCATGACCACTTCAACCTTAGTTACAAGTTGTAATTGTCCAAATCGTTTTATTCTCCTCAACAATCTGTCAGGTAATCAAACTGTTCACCCACTGATGTCAGCTCATGATTAAATCCTCCATGCACCCGCTTATTTCTTCATTACTCTTAATTTGTCCAAAATTATGCATTACGCAATCCATGTGTTGCGACCACTTCCATCTTTTAATTGTCTCTGTGTGTGCTACTTTTCTTCCTTAATTATCACCCCACTGACATGTTGATACTGACGAACTATTGTGAACAGGTATATCGCCACTTGATTGGTAAATTGTTGTGTATTGTAATAAAAATGCTGTATATAAAAAGAGTAGAGCCAGAGATGACAATCTAGTTGAAAAGCAAATATTTCTTCGCTCAATCCTTCTGCTTTCTTGGTTGTCGTCTGTGTGACCAGGCAATTTCGTGAGTCCACATCCATTCCATCAGCTATCGCAGATTCCTAGCACTCCCACTCCATATTTTCTCATTTCTTTGGCCACCTGGATAGCTTTCTCAGACGGCTTCGTACATTGTACGAAAATCCCAAGTCCCCATTCATATCTCTGATTTCACTGAAAGAAAACGCATCAGCTGACTGACTGGCTTCGCGAAAACTGGCTTCCACCAGCCCGCCTGTTGTGTCATTTCGTCTCAGAGAAAAACAAATGTTGGTTCTCTAACTGATATCAATCCGCGATCAACTCGTAAAAACAAATCTAATCCTTACCAACCAACTGTTGAGAAACAAATTTGTTTTTAAAAAAATATTTTCAGCCCATATCAAAAAACCTCTACCTACCTATTTTTCGCGAAGTAGTTTAGTTCTAAACTAGAATTAGTTGGTTCACATTAGTGCAAAACCGAAAATCATGAACTGATGCATTCTTTCGTCAGGTCTTCAGGAAAGCTGATTGCTATCACACCTGTTAACCAACCAGGTACATATTCGGACGATTACAAGTGAATTTCAGCAGAAATTAACATTAACCGAGAAAACCCGTACCTCTTCTATTTATTTTTTTATTTTTGATTACAGCTTGATTCCACACTGTATTTTTGGTCCAAGTAGGGAATTTTCAGCATGGATATCGGTAGCCTTAGATTATACAGAACACTATTCAAATCATTTATCACCTGAGTCACTTCCCTTAAACTAGTCATCATTAGTATTATTCATCGTGGTATGACTCAACTAGGTTCCTATCCATGTCACTTATAAAACCTACTCAAATGATAAACAGACGCATTAGAATCGACAATTGGATCTGGTCATCAGCAGATTCTTTTGTGTTGGAAGTAGAAAAGATACAAATCGGTCGATCTACAACTGGGCTCACGACCTTCTGTTCACGAGGACATCTTGTTGACCACCATTCAGCCACTGAGACGGAACCCTGTCACCCATGAATTCGGACTGCTGTCATTTGGCCATACTTAGTAGTAGTGGCGTCAGAGAATGTCATCCGTGGCAAGTATTTGTCCTCATACCTGACCTGACCTAATGGACCACCTCACCGGTCACAATTTCTCACTGGAACCACAGATTATTTCGTCCCAATCAGCCAACTGTGATCATAAGATTAGTTTTCAGATGCCTACAAATTAACATTAGGTAGATGACCACAGGATGGAGATCGTACACTTCTCGTAGAAATTGTCGACCAGTGGAATGGAATAAATTGTTTATTAGGACAGATGCTCATTCACTCGTCGATGACACTTGACAGAGATGGCGCGCTGCACATACAACATGACCTATTGGATTCCAGCCCACTGACAAATTGGTCAACGCGCTCGCCTCACTATCCAGTGGTGTGATTCGTACATATTGTTTAAGAGGACATCCAGTACTCCCTTCTGGTGTCCAATGGTTATCTCTAATTGATCTCAGATTGTCAGCCGACTTAACATCAATCAAATCTCTGAAAGCCGAATCCACTTTTCTCTTCAATGTCACGTATCGACTGGAGAAGGAGAAGAAGAAGAAGAAGAAGAGTGTCTATAATAATTGCTACACGTAAACAGATTGAAAGTTAATTCGGATAGCGAGTTGATTAGTCGACCGATTCAACAGCCAACCAATCACTTAGCCAATCGATCAATAAGCTTGTCCGAATAGAAAACTTGGGAAGGAGACCGGTGCAAATGAAGGCATAACTCTGTTCTCATTGATTTCACAAAGGAGTCAATTCCAATTTCAATCCGTTTTTTCTGTTTCCGTTAAATGACGTGGTTGTTAGAAGGAGTCAGATACAACACGAATTACAATAATGTCAATTGTTCTGCTGATCTTCTGTTAATTTGTTAACGTAAGAAGAAATGAAGAGAGAAAGAGAAAATGAGTTTGAGAGAAGAGTGAGACGGTGAATGAGTGAGTGAGAGAGAAAGTAGAGAATACAATGAGTTCGATTTGAAGAGATGCCTGATGAAGGTAATCA